TGGGCAAAGGGCACTGCTTCCCTTGGGGCAGAAAGAAAAAGGCTCTCCAAGGAGGTCATCTTTGGGCTGAGGCTGAAGAAGAAGCCTGCCTTGCAGAGTTCGGATTAGCATTCTGGGCAGAGGAAGCAGCCAGTGCAAAACGCCTTAGGGTGAGAACAAGCTTGCATTCAGGAGCAGAAAGACTGCAGCATGTGAGCTAGGGGAAAAGGCTGGAAGGCAGGTGGCAGGGCAGCAGGGCTGGACCTCAGAGGGCATGGAAGGTCACAGAAAGGAGCTTGGGTTTTATCATGAGCAATGTGGGAAGTCACAGGAGCAGGGGTGGTATCTGAATCACACTGAGTCTACTACCTGTTGAGTAGACAAAGGATCCTTGGGGGCCAGGATGGCAGTAGGCAGACCATTAAAGGTGCCATGCGATCCAGGTCCTGGTGGTGGAATGGTGATGGGGACCCCAGAGTGAAGGCCTGGTCCGCAGTTAATGTCACTGAACTGTACTAGTGAAGACTGTAGAAATGGCAAATGTTCTGCTACCTATATACTTAACCACAATAAAAACAAACAAAAACCCCATGGAGCACAGTTCCACTCTGACACACGTGGTTACCATGAGTCAGAGCTGATGAAGGAAAAAAAAAAAAGAAGCTTACTCCTCATACTTATATTGAGCTTATAAGCACCTTGAGAATGCTGTGAACATGTATTATTTAATCTTCACTACAACCCTATGAGGTAGGTACTGCCCTTTGTCGTGCAAAAGAGGAAACCCAAACTCACAGGTGAAATGACTTGCCCAAGGTCATACAACTAGGAAATGGATTTAAATTTGGAAAGTCTGGCTCCAGAGTCTTTGCTGTTGACCAGGGTCCTGTACCATTTCCATGTGCTGCTGGAATGAGCCAAGTCTGAATGAAGAGGCAGATGAACTTGAGGATGATAAATGCAGTGAAGGATGTAGGGTATGATAGCTTATTGATGAAGATGGTCTGAAGTTTTTCTGAGCTGCTGACTTGAAAGATAAGTGTAAGTAAGAACTGAAAAGTGCTGGAGAATGTTGCCCAAGTTCACACACAGCTGAGAGGGAGTAAGGCTGTCGTGGGAACACCAGCCAGCCTGTAACCTTGACTTCATCCCTCATGTGAAGCTTGCTCTCCAACTTCCCTGACCCTTCTAGCCACAAAGTTTACCTCTGTCCAATGTTCATACCCAGCCTGCAGGCCCAACATGGAATGCCTGCCTTCCCAATCCTTGAAGGCCCTCCAAGAAGCTTCCAAGAATTCCAGCCCTTTGATCTTTTCCATCTTGGAATTATTTCTGTCCTAGACAGTATTGTGTATTTTGGCACTCAGTTTACACACTCTGGCATTGTCTTGTCTTAATGTCTGTTTTGTCTGATATTGATATAGCCACTCCTGCTCTCTTTTGGCTACTCTTAGTATGGAATATTTTTTCCATTCTTTCCCCTTCAACCTACCGGTAGGTCTACAGTGGGTCTTTTGTAAACAGCATGTAGTTGGAACATGTTTTTTTGTCCATTTTGCCTTTCATTGGAGAGCTTAATCTGTTTACATTAAAAGTAATTACCAATAAGGAAGGACTTACTTCTGCTATTTTGCTATTTATTTTCTGTGTGTCTTCTACCTTTTTCATCTCTAATTTCCTCCAATACTGCCTATTTTTGTGTTTGATTTACTGTAGTGAACGCTTTTGATTGTTTTTTTCATTTTGTTTTGTGTATATTTTTTAAATATTTTCTTTGCAGTTACCAGGGTAATTACATTTAACATTCTAAACTTATAACAACCTAGTTTAAATAGAAAACAACTTCAAAAAACATACAAAAACTCTGCTCCTATTGTTCCTCCTCCCCTCTTTATGTTGTTGTTGCAAGTTACATCTTTGTATATTGTGCCTCCAGTGACATAAATTTATCATTATTTTTATGCATTTGTCTTTTAAATCATGTAAGAAATAACAAGTAGCATTACAATACAAAATTACTAGAAATATGACCTTTATACTTATTCATTAAATTACCTTTACTAAAGATCATTTTTTATTTCTTCATACATCTTTGAGTTACTGTCTAGTGTCCTTTCTTTTCAATATGAAGTGCTCTGTTTAGCGTTTCTTATAGGGCAGGTCCTGTGGTAACAAACTCCCTCAGCTTTTGTTTATTTGGCAATGTCTTCATATCACCCTTATTTTTGAAGGACAGTTTTGCCAGATATAGAATTCCTGTCTGATAGTTTTTTTTTCTTTCGGTACTTTAAATATGTCATCCTACTGCCTTCTGCCCTCCAAGATTTCTAAGGACAAACCAGCACTTAATCTTATTGAGAATCCCTTGTTTGTGATGATTTGCTTCTGTCTTGCTAGTTTCAAGATTTTCTCTTTACGTTTGGTTTTTGAGAGTTTGATAATAATACATCTCACTGTGGCTCTCCTACTTGGAGCCCTATCCTACTTGGAGTTCGTTAAGCTCCTTGAATGTGTAGATTTATGTCTTTCCTCAGATTTGGGATGATTTTGACCATTTTTCTTCAAATAGTCTTTTTGTTTTTTCTCTCTCCTCCTTCTAGGACTCCAATAGTTCGTATATTAGTCAGCTTGATAGCGTCCCACAAGTCCCTTAGGCTGTATTCATTTTTCTTCTTGTTCCTCAGTCTCAATAATCTCAATTGCCTTATCCTCAAGTTCATGAATTCTTTCTTCTACCAGTTCAAATCTGCTGGTGAGTTCTTCCAGTGTCATTTTCATTTCTGTTATTATACTTTTAAACTCCAGTATTTCTGTGTGGCTCTTTTAAAAAAATTCTTTATTGAAATTCTAGTTTTCTTCCTGTATCATTTTCCCAATTTCCTCTAGTTCTTTGTTCGTTTTTCTTTAGCTCTTTGAGCATATTTAGTACTGTTGTTTTAAAGTTTTTATCTAGTAAGAATTATCTGTCCTTCCTCAGGGATGATTTCTGTCACTTTATTGTGGTCTTTCGCATGGGCTAGTCTTTCTATTTCTTCATATATCTTGTTATTTTTTGTTGAAACCAGGACATTTGATGATTATACGGTGGTAACTCGGAATCAGCTTCTTCCCCTTCCCTAAGTTTGTTCTTCTTCTTCTATTGTTGTTATTGTTATTTTAATTGTTGAAGGATGTAGTCATCTGCTCCAACACGAGGCCCTCACCTGAAGGCACCAACTGTTGCCATTCCAACACCTGGCTCCCTGTCTGGGTGCACCAGTCACTGTAGCTACCCCAAGATGGCTGTGCCAAACTGGGGAGAAGGCGGGACACAGACAGGTGGAGAACCAATGCTTTCTTACAGTTTATATGTAACCTTTTCTTCATTCAGTATTTGCTTAGATGCTCTAACTCTTTGACTAATTTCCACAGTTCCGAGACTATTGATTCCATTAATTTCTGCTTGTTATTTCAGATTTTGTTGTGGGGGAATCGGAGCATGCTGCTGCTTACACTGCCATCTTGCTCCATGGAGTTGAGAGGAGTTTCCTACCAGAGAGTCCAAGTGAAAAAACACAAAGAGGACCCTCTGGCATTATCTTGTTTTCCAAACTCTTAGCTGTCTCCCCTATTTCCCTTTGAGGGTCCAGAGCATGCCTACTTCTTCAGACTCTTAGTTGTCCCCCTAGTAACTTTGAGGGGCCAGAATGTGTCTACTTCTCTATTCTGATCCATAGAGAATGTGTTCGGATCCTGGTAGAAATTTCAGGTTCCTATTTAAGTGGGGTGGTAGGCCTCTCTCCAACTCTGGTACTTTGTACTACCAGCTTCTCCCACCATAGTCGGTCCTGACTATTTTCACTATAGTCCCTGAAGCCAGGTAGGATACCAAATAGGTACTCTAATATAAAGCCCTATTCAAGTACTTTGTATTTTACAAAGTTCTTTGCCTATATAAATTCACCTTTCTTGAAGGTAAGGATTATTACACCTATTTTATAGAAAAGTACTCATATATTAGCCAGCTTTATAACAGGTATTGCATATGTTTTACATGCATGATCTTTTTTAATGCTTGAAATCCCCTCAAGGTAAGCATTATCTCCATTTTACAGGTAAGGGATCTGAGGCTCAGATTAAGGGGCTTCCCATGCACCAAATAAAAGGTGGCATAGCCAGGATTCATGCCTAACTGACTGCAGCTTTACAACTCCATCCCCTTCACCTTAGTTCCATTAGGCTTGTGGCTAGAACAACTTGCTGGATAATTCCAAGGGGCCAAAGCTAAAAGAATTCTGAATTTTTTCTCTTCCAGGCTGAGCTCCAATGAGTACAGAAAGTGCAGGAGCTACAACTAGTCTATGCCCAAGCCCAGATGGAGCTGGAGGTGAGCAAGGCCCAGCAGCTGGGTGAGTTGGACGTAAAGAAGTTCAAATAGATGACAGAGGCCCCAGGACCATCAGGGACCTTGCTGTGGCTGGGCCAGAGATGCAGATGAGAGTTGGGGAAGGCAGGAGAGGACGGGTATTTGTCTTGGGACCAGACTAGAACAAAGAAGGCAAGGCCAGGGAGGCAAATACATCTTTCTAGATGTCTAGAAAGATGTTTAGGCAGAGGGATGAGGTCAGACAGGGACTGAACTGCCCCTGTATCATGTATCATGATTTCTGTATCATTTGAGCACAGTATCATGCTCAAATACTGTGCTTCCCTTATGTGCCAGGCACTGTACTAGACCCAGTGGTGAGCTGAAGCTCATGGGGAGCTTCAAACAAATAGGACAGCATCAGTCTGTGACAAGTGCTTCAAAAGAAGTCAAACAGGGTGGTGAGATGATGAGGGGCTGTCTCTTCAGATTAGTCATTTTAAGTAAAGTCATTCTGAGCACTTGAGCCCTCCATGGAGTTGAGAGGAGTTTCCTACCAGAGAGTCCAAGTGAAAAAACACAAAGAGGACAAACTTGGTACATTTAATGAACGGGAAGGACTCTGGCTGCAACAGAGCAAGCAAAGGTGTGAAATGCTGAGCTGTTGGAGAGGTAGTCCCTCAGGTTTCCCTTGTGCTGTTCATTTTTCACTGACTGATCCTTTGAGGATGGGGTGGCAGACAGCTACAGTGTCAGGCAAAAGTGGCTGGGGGCCTGTCCTAGAGAGGCAGTCATGGAGATAGGAGACGTGACCCCATCTTCTCACCCTCCTCCTCCCTCCCTCCAGGTAAAACTGCTCCAGAGCCTGGGCCTGAAATCAGCCCTCATCACTGACGGCTCCACTCCCATCAATCTCTTCAACACAGCCTTGGGTCTACTGGGGGCAGGATCTGAGGCTCAGTCCCCAGCCAGGAAGGTGGCTGGTGGGCCCAGTCCCCAAGAAGGCTTGCTTCTCAAGTGCCCCCCCGCTCTTCCAGCTGTTAGGAACACCCACATGGTGATGAGGAGTACCCCTGTAACCTTGAGACAGTTACTAGGGACTACTCTTGTTTGTAACGTGGAGAGGAAGCTGAGGCAGGGAGAAGACTAACCTGAAGTCACAGTGATAGGTAGTCAGCTTTCCTGGACCTCGGTTTGGGGAGATAAAGCCACAGGTGGGAGGACAAGGCCTGCCTGGCTAGCCCAGCCAACCCCTCTGGGATGGCTCCTACACTAGCAACATCTTTTCTCACTGCCAGTTCCTCCTGCTGCCCAGCCTGGCCAGGAAGCCCTCCCTGGAGGTCTAACCCTCCAGCTGTCAGTCATCCATCCCAGCCTCCCACCCCCCTATCCTTTGGGATGCTTCTTTTGGCGCCACCTACTGGTCAAATCGTGCACCTGTAGGGCCTGTCAGTATGTCCCTCCTCAGATCAGGGAGGAGGATCTTGCCCAGGGGCAGTAGGAACTGGAGTAGGTCCCTGAGCTTCTGGTCTGGGCTCTTTGGAAGCATGGAGGGAGGGAGCTAACATAATCAGTTGTTGTTAGCTGCCGTGGAGTCGACTTCCAACCCATGGTGACCCCATGTACAATGGAACAAAATTCTGTCCGTGCCATCCACGTAATAGGTGCGGATTGAATTGTTCTGATCCATATGGTTTTTATTGACTGATTTTCAGAAGTAGAATGCCAGGTCTTTCTTCAGAGTCTAAGTCTAGAAGCTCTGCTGAAAGGGGAAGGAGCCAGGCACGATCAGTCTGGTTGCACAAGTGGATGCTATAAGGTGCACCAGTCCCTTCCAGGTAGTAGAGCTATAGATGCTAGGCATGCCTGGTTGGTGCTGAGGGAATGAAAAGATCCCAGGGGAGGAGGGAAAAGCTTGGGCTTACTCACCATATGGCTACAGGAGGCAACTCAACCTCTCTGACCTCCTTTCCTTGTCTATGAGATGGGCCAGCAATTCCCCTACTGAATAGGGTTGGTGTGAAGGTGCAAATGTAATGGATGACTTCTTCTTAGGGTCTTATTCCTTTTCCCCTACTGGGGCCTAACACCATGGGCCTTCTATCTTTTTAAGCTGAGTTGCATTTGTGTGGCCAATGGCTCCACTCAAGTATGAGTTTGTTGAGGCAAGGACTGTCTTTGTTTAGTCCATAGCACTCAGTGGTGCTGGCTCAATGTTGATGGAATAGGTAAGTGAGTCAGCCTCCCATCCTCCCAAAGCTCTCCTACCTTTTCCCTTAGGAGAGGCGATTAATTTAGAGCTCTGAATCTGGTTCCTGGTGCATATTAAGTGTTAAAAGTTAGCATTGTTTATTACTAAGGGCCTCTAGGGATGGGTGACAAGTAGGCAAGATTGGCCGAAGTGGATATGTGGTAGGTTCCTTCCCATCTCAGTCCCCGCTCCTATTGGCATCCTTTGACCTTGTCATTGCTAATAACCACATAGCCTCTAAAACCTCAACCTTGCTGCCCCATCCTCACCTTCCAAGCAGCCATTTCTCTACCTCAAAGCTTCAGTGTTAACCTCAACAACTTTCTCATCATCCACAACCTCCTTTTCATTTTCATCTTTGTCCAGCTTAAAGGGTCTATCAGTGCAATCACTGACTTGAAACCTCCCTTAACTCCCTCGCCCCTCCCCCTCCCCATGACACTTAGTGGGAAAATCCCATCCCTTCTTCTACCAACCACCCCTTGCCGTGCCTGCCTGCCTGCGCCTGACTAGCTGCATGCTGTTGGAAGAGAAATACCCCACCCTGCTGATAGATCTCATTTGAAACTCATGGCAGCAAATTTCAAGGGAGGCCTAATGGGCTCTGACTACCCTTCTCTATCTTGTGTGGGATTCCCCTTTCAAGACAACCATTCACACCTCCTCTCTTCTCAACTACACCTCGGCCCACTTTCTCTCACCTCATTGAGAAAATAGAAGCAAATTGGGCAGGAAAGTCCGCCCCCTCCCAGCAGCAAATCTAACAAACCATTGGCATCTGAACTCCCTGTCTTCCTTCCTGTTCCCACAGAGGACGTGCCCTAGCTCCTCACTGCCCACCCCACCCCCCACCCCTGCCCATAGATCTCACCCCATCAAGGCCTCCAGGGCTGCACTCCATGGCATCGGCAGCCTAGCCTGACTGCTACATCTACCTCGCAGGATTGTAAGACCCAATTAGGTAACATGGGAAACCGCTCTTTAAATTGTATGCATGAGGATGGACCCAGCACTGACTGTAGAGTGGGACAGATACATCCCAGTGACAGGCAAATAGGCCTTGCTGGAAATAGTGGAGCTCAGTTTACATCAGAGCCAGATTCCAAGTCAATCCCTTCAGGGACAAACACTTGTTACCAAATTACTCTTGAAAGTCTCTTAAATTGCCCATAAAATACAGTACAGTATGATCTCCGATTAAATTCAACACAGCCCATCTGTTTTTCTCCAGCATTGGGCTTTTCTTTGGTTGAGTACCAGATGAAGTAACTGATATGTTTAAGGACCCATTTTATAAGAATCTATGTCTTTAAACAGCAGAATCACATTCAGCATGGTCAGATGCTATTTATCAAACCTATTTCCTCTTCTTCCTAGGCCCACACACGAATCTATATTTCACAACCTCCTTGCACTTCGATGCATCCCTGTGACTGAGTTGTAACCAATGAAATGTGAATGGAAGTAACATGTGCTAATTCCATGCCTTCCCAAGCCTCATGCATGATGCAAATAGGCAGGGCAATCTTGGAAGCCATGTGTTAACAATAGCGGAACTCTAAGATGGGAGCAGCCTGAGTCCCTGAATCACTGCTTGCAGGAGAAGCTTCCCAGTCAGGAGCACCTGACAGGCCTTTACATGAGTTAGAAATCAACTTCCTTCGTGGTAGAGCCACCACACATTTTGGGGTTTGTTACAATAGCTAGTGTTACTTTTGATCACACTTTGAGACCCAAGACCACCTGAGAGAACAGCAGTCTTGGTAAGATCTCATGCCCTCTCTGAGGCACAGGCTTATTGAGTGGAATGAGCAAATGCAATTTCTGCATGGTAGTTATTCCTTCTGTCCACAAGCATATAGTTGAATTCCAGAAAGTTATACTGCACATACAGTGTGGCTCCACTAGATTCCGTAGATCAAATATAGTGACTCCAGGACCCAATTCAGAAACCCTGGTGGTGTAGTGGTTAAGTGCTATGGCTGCTAACCAAAAGGCTGCTAACCAAAATCTACCAGGCGCTCCTTGGAAACTCTATGGGGCAGTTCTACTCTGTCCTATAGAGTCACTATGAGTCAGAATCAACTTGACGGCAACGGGTTTGGTTTTTTTGGGACCCAGTTCAGCCCAGACTTCCCCTATTCCCCACTCCCTACCCTAAACCCCCAAGGGGTCACAGGTCACAGGTTCCAGGCTATGAATGCAGGGTCTGTGCTCTGCAGGTTCTTCTTGAGTTCAGTCCAGCCACTGGACATGGGACAGAAGGTAGCAGACTGACTTCCAGACCTCTCCCATGGGAGAGGGGCTAAAAAGCCCTTCCTGGGGTCCTCAGTGCTTCTACTTGAGTGGAAGGTGCTTACACTCTCCTCCCCAATTCGCCCTCCTTTTCTTAGCTCACACAGAGCTGGATAAGTTACAGACTTCTGACGTCACTGTAAGCACTAAGGAGCCAGTTGGGGCTGCGGGAACTGGCAGGGCAGAGGGTTCCCTGCTCTTAGGCCTGGGCGAGTGCTCAGAGGGCTCGTTTGGCTGGAGAAGACAGCTGACTCGCAAAGGACAATGGGAAGGAAAAAGAGCTCCAGAGCAGGAGCTGGGAGGGCACCTTTCCTACCGCCCTCTCAGGGCGCAAGCTGCCCCTTATTCGTCCCCCACCTTGACTGGGAGCAGGAAGCCGGACAGGGGCACACTGGAAGTTGGAGGGGCAACTCAGCTTTGTGCATTATCCTTCTCGAGCCAAAATCCTTCCTTGCCACTGCCCTGCTTAAAGCCTTTCAGTGTCCATCCCAACTGTCTCCAAAAGAGGTCCAAGACGGTCTGCTGCAGCGTAGCATTGTTCACAGTAGCAGGACCTGATTAAATAATTCACGGAACAGTGTGCAGCCATTATGAGGACTGCCGAAACGGCAGCGCTGAGTACCCTCAGTGTTAAGAGGGCAGGCTCTGGAGCCAAACTGGCCAGTTTGGGACCCTCTCAGGGACCTCAATTTCCTGTCTGTAGAATGAGCACAATAACAGGATTATCATATCGTATGTAACGGTTCTTAGATGAAATAACACAAAAAAGCACTTAGAACAGCGGTAACTTGTTAGCAGAGCAGCGAATATATAGAATGAATTTTAAAATATGGAAATCTCTATGTACAGATGTAAGGGATTTATTTAGACAAATACACAAGAAATTAGTAGTAGTGGTTGCCTCTAGGGAGAGCTGACAGCTTGAGGCGGGAAGAGACTATTTTGTCATCCTTCTACAGTGTTGGAAGTTTTATGTGAATATTTTACCTATTTAAAACAAAAATCCCCTCAGCAGCTCCGTGTGGCCCTCAGGATAAAGTCTAAATGCCCTACAAGGCTCCTCAGGCCGTCCTGCTGGCTTCTTCTGCCTCATCTCTCATCAGCGCCCCACCTCACCCCCAGCACTTAAGTGTTTCAGCTGAATTGATCTACTTCCATTTCTGCAGTTTCCCAGGGTGCTCTCTGGCCTCCCTGCCACTGTACTATTCCCTCCTCTGCTAGCCCTTCCCTCCTCTGCTAGCCCTTCCCTCCTCAATCCCTATGCAGCTTGGGTTACCCACCCCCTTCACCAAACCCAAGCGAGGTTTCTACTCCCTAACCAATCCGTTTTTGCTCCTCTGTGACTGTGACCTCCAAGAGGGCTCGGAAGCCAGCTGCAGAGCTCCCCACTGAGTCCTCTGTGCCTAGAACAAGAGTTGAAGCTCAATACACATCAGCTAAGTTTCAGCTCTTCTGGACACCAACTGCCTCTTGGGCCACTTGGCTGAGCTTTATGAGGATTAAATGAGTAACATCTGCAAAGAACCCCCAGTACAGGGTCTGGCAGATGGCAGGCCCAATATAGTTTTCAAAAAGAAAGCAGGTGCCAGGCGGCAGAGAAAGCTCAAATAGTAGGAGTAGCTGTTAGGGACTGATGCCCAGAACAATGTCTAGTACATGCTAGGTGCTCAAAAACTGTTAAAATTGCAGACTTCTGGGCCCACTATCCCTAGAGTACACTTTGAGAAACCAACCGATCTGTTCACAAATATTTACTAAGTAGCTACTATACGGCACGTTAAGGTTAGTCTTCACTCCAGGGGCAGAGAAGGGAACAAGAAAAGTAGGTGCCCTCATGGAGTTTACATCCTAGTGGGGGTAGAAAATACCAAGAATACAAATAAATGCAGACAATGTTATAAATAACATTATAAAGCAGGTGGGTAGAGACAACATGGCATGTGCTTGGGTGGCAGAGAGGGCCTCTGAGGGTACCGTGGAACAGCAGAAAGGAGCCAGTCAGCAAACTAGGGACCCAGCTCCATTTTCCTTTTTTCCCTAAGGCTCCCCTGGACCCAGGCCCTGGTCCAAGAGTTTCTCAAAGGAAACCAAGTCCAGATAGTGAAGTTCCCACCTTTATTATCAAGGCTTCCAGGTCCAGGGTAGACAGGACAGAGGAAACTGCAACAGAGAAGGATCTAGAAGGTCCCTTCCCTCCTGGGTGTGGCACCCCCAGGCTGCCTCTGCCCAGGGGTAGAAGCCTGACTCCCCTGCCTTTTGGGGACCCTGGCCCCTACATCATCTCCCTCACTCAAGTGTCCCTAAAATCTTGGCCAAGCCAGCCTCCAGGGCTGTGTCAGCAGGGCATGACAATGCCCAATCCTCAGGCCTCCTGGGGCCCCAGGGTATCATCACCTGTATAGGTGGGGCCCTTGAGTATCCTTCCTCAACAGAAGCCCACGTCCTTGGGGCTCACAGGGGTGGGACTAGTCCTCAGGAGTTTGGAGAACATGACATCACCAAAGAGAGGCTGACCCCTATCCCAGTGGGCTGGACAACACATTAGGAAGATGTAAGACTGGGACCTCCTAGGAGGGGAAGGGGAGCCGTGTGGCACAGTGAGACTCCCAGGGCAAGTGGGCGCTGGGGGACTGGAGGTTCCAGGGTCATTTCTTTTTGGCACGGTCTGCCGCGTCCAGGGCAGCCATGTTGCGGGCGGCTGTGATCAGGTGGATGACACTGATGACGGACTTCAGCAACGCAATGGGGGCAGTGATCCAGAGGCCCATGCGGAAAAGACCCACAGAGCCAACTGCGGGAAGGAAGCAGGGGAGAGACAAAGGAAATGAGATGCAGGGACCGGCCTAGGAGTCTGAGGCCTTCACCTCCCCTGGCAGGCCAGAAGCCCCTCCCACCCTCCTGTCCAGCCCCTCAGCTCCTACCTAGTGGTCCCTCGGAGAAACTGAACAGATAGAGGAGGCAGTAGAAAAGCTCATTTCCAGCACACAGAACGAACAGAGCAGGCTGCACAAACAGAAAAAAGGCTGCTTAAGCAAGAGGGCAGGGCAGTATACCCCTTCCTGCCCGGCCCACTCACTCAGGGAAAGGGAGCCCAAACTCTCAGGCAGGTAGGTAGCAGGGAGGAACATATGGGGGGGGGAGGGGCGGGGGAAGGGGTGTCACAAGCACAAGGGCCTCATTTCCATTTGCTGCCTGGAACAATTCATAGTCCTCCCCACCAATCCTGCTCTTTCGTGTCTCAGCTTACAGGCTCCTCCTTCCCTGGGAGACTGGGCTGGCTGTCCCTCTAGGCTGCCTCTCCTAACTTGGGACCAGGGCTCGGACCAGGGCGCAGCCTAAGATCTGGCATAAGCTAAGTGAATAAAGGGAGGGGTAGAAATACTCACTCTGGAGGTATAGTAAATCCGAAGCACCGGATTCCCAGACAGGTCGATCATTTTGTGACTTTCACTGCCTCGGACCACAGAGCTTGGGGAGTAAGTAGGGGGTATCCATGAGTTTACATTACCACTAACATCCCTCTAAGTCTCACATCGACCCCATGTAGTAGGTACTGGGATTGCCTCTGTTGTACAGATGAACTGAGGCACAGATGAGGACCAGAGTATCTTGTCCAAAGCCCCATGATTACCTAGTTAGGGGCAGAGTCAGGATTCAAATGCCACATTCGAAAGCTCTCACACCCCTTCTCACGAGCTATTACCCATTTGAAATCCTGGAAAATCCAGCCAGAAAGGTCTTAAGAATTGCTTAATTCAACTGTAAATAGGACTGACACTGATTCAGAGAGGGTCAGGACTTGGCATGGGCAAAGCAGAGGCTCAAAAATGAAGACCCCCCAAGAAGCCATCCCAGACACCCTCCCATTTAGTCTCACCCCTCCCACCGTAGTGTCTTCTTCAACCTGTCTACTCCTCCAGGCATCCCAGAATCGAAGCAGACCTGTGGAGGTGCAGCCAGTGGCTGGCCACGTCCAAGCTCATACTGAGCTGAAAGAGAAGGGTTGCTCGAGGGTACAGCAGGGCCAGGTTGACCAGCAGACACATGGTGGAGCAGCGGTCCGTCAGCATATCCAGCATGGCCCCAAACCGGGTCCCTGAAAAATCAGGACTATTAGATGGGAAGGGGCTGTTAGGCGCAATGGACCCACGACACATGCCATAGTTGGTGTATCACTCTGATGCAGACTCTAGAAGATTGGAAGTGTTCACTATTCACTGCCTGGGGAGAACAGCAGGCTGATATCAGTGGGAGTGAGAGGTCAATGGGCAAGGGTCACCATGATATGAAATGAGAAGGCAAGGGCATGTAGAGGGAACAGTTTAGGATGGGGGTGGACAGCTATCTCTACAACTCATCAATCCCAGAGCCAAGGCTCCAGGTCAAGACAGAGAGACTTGAAGTCTCAGTGGAAGTCTCAGAAGTGCGTCTGGAGAACAGATTTAAAAAAATAAGTCAGTCTTCCAGAAGCCATGGTTTCCCTCTCCACTCTTCCTCTAAACATGCCTTCCAGAATCCCTATTGCTTGTGTCTGGCACACAGTAGGCCCTCAGAAAACACTTGTTGGATTCATATTCAAAGAGACCCTCAGCACTGCCACAGCCGTTCAGTCTTGCTATCCGACATCCCTCACAATCAGTTAAGTGTTTCTCAAGAACTAGCTTAAATCTCTTCTGATACAAAACCGGGCCATTCTGTTTGCTTTCTATAGAGATGGGAATGACAGAGCCCTTCAGACTCCCCAGTTCCGGCCCACCCTGAGATCCTGACGAGGAAGGGGGCAGGGAGTTGTCGGGCCCCAAAGCTGGCTGGGAGAGGTGTCTGTCACCTTGATTAAGGGCTCGAGCAGCGTGTCCATCGAAAGCATCCAGAAGTCCGCTGAGCAGGTAGAAGGACGAGGCCGTGAGGGGGCAGCAAGGCATGAAGTAGAAAGAAATGATAGCGAAGACGATCCGGGCATAACCTTGGGATGGGGAGGGGGGAGACAGACGGTGGGGTTCACGGACTCGCCCAAGGTTCGTTGCCCCAGTTCGCCCTAGGGCCGCAGGCAATACTCACCGATGAGGTTAGGCACGAACAGGAAGACATTTTCGCCTGGCATCGCGGCAGCTCCTTTGCCGTCCCGGGCTCCTTCTGTAGGTGCCAGAGCTCTTCCAGCCCCGCCGCGCGACCTCACCCTCCGGTTCGGCGCATCGGCCGCGCCAACTGCGTACAGTATCCCGTTTCCCCGGCCCAGCCCCAGATGTGAAACCTCTCAGCCGGCCCGAGCATGGGCCGGCCCCGATGTGTACGGGGTGCAGGGGGCGCGCGCACCCCGCCAGTCCAATGGGCAGCTCCTAGCCGCTGCCCGCCCTGCAGGGGCCCCCGCTTCCAGCTGTGGTCCTAGCTGCTCCAGCTGTGCTCAGCTTCCGAGAACCCACCCCTCTGCGCTGGTAGTTGCAAAATTAAAGAAAAGAGCCTTAAAAAATGGCTGCGGCCCCTTTAAGATCTGCCCGCTTCCTTTTCCTTTTCTTCACTCCGCCTCTTGATGGCTCGTACCAAAATGCAGAAGGAGGAGGGGGAGAAAAGAACCGTCGACGCCGGGCAAAAGAAGGAACTGAAAAGGCGAGGGCAAAACACAAGGAAACCTAGATAAATATCTCTACTTTTCTTTATACGGGGTAAGTGTTTTCCCGGAGACAAAGAGAAAGAGAAAAGATTCCTCCCTTTTGAATCTTGACATCCCCAAGAGACGAGGTTATTTGGTACACTCCACATCTTTCCTTCCCTGCCCCCTAACTCTGGCCTCTTTTGCACTCTCCGGCTTCAGGTTACGAAAGGACGGCTAGAGAGTTTGGAAAGCGGTCTAGGGCGGGGTTGCTTCTTGCGCGCCCCTAGTGGTAGGAGGATTAGGTTCAAGGCTCCACTCTGTGGTATTTTCCATCTTCTCAAGCCTCTGGCACTTGGGTCGCCGCCCTCAAGAAGGGACCTAGAGGGTGGTGGAGGAGAGGCTGGAGGAGGGAACGCGGCATGCTGGGAAAATGACCCTAACCTTTGGTTCTAGAACCTTTAATACATCTCCTGGCAACGGGGCTGCGGAATCTCCGCAGACACCAAGGTTTTTATAGCAGCGGGTAGTGGTGTGGCCCTGGGTCCCTCTCTTTCCAACCTTCTTCCCCGTCTCCGCCTCCCTGTCTCCCCCCACCACCCCGCCAACAAGCCCTGTAGAAACAGCTGCCGCAGAGGCCCCATCTCCCTTTCTGCTGAGTAGCCCAAGATTTCAACCCATCTGCCAGGTCTGGGGAGGCAAGTCGGCTGCCTTGGCTTGAGAGGGAAGAAGAAAGGAGAGCCCCACCGGGTGAAATGGGGAGGGGGATTGTTGTGCCCCCTATCCCCCCCCCCCCAGAAGAATCTGACACAGTGGGGACTGAGACAGCGGGGTGGTTCGTCTATAAGCCCTGTTTAAATCTGGGCAGGGCAATAGTGGTGGGATGGGTTTCTGGGGGGAAGTGGGCTAGTTTCTGTCTAAACAGGCTCCAACTGTTCCCAGAGGGATGGCATCCACTCCTACCAAGAATGAGGAGAAAAAGGGCAACTGGCCGACCCAAGCTGCATCCTCCTTGGCTGGAGGTCAGGTGAGCGTGGAGGGGAGCACTAAAGGTGGAAGTGTAATGTAGTGGAGACCTCCTAGGTGGTGGCACCCAGCCCCAGGTCTGAGCCACGAGCCCTCGGCCCTAAGATCTCACCTCACCCTCATCCCAGAGACTCCCCAGTCTTGAGACCTGCCCCCCCCCCACCCTGAGATCCCCACCTCCAAAGACCCCCAGTCCTGAGCCCTAGGCCCAGAGCCATAGCCCTCATCACTGACCCTGAGGTCCCCAAAGACTGCCCCCCAGGTCCAGGGCCTTCTAGGTTAAATATGAAGGCCCAATTCTCCAGTATGAGACTCCTTAGACCCATATCCCCTAGCCTGCTAGCTCCCAGACCCAGAAGCCCCAGGTAGGAGCTCCCAGGCTGAGCCCCTCTGACTTCTTTTTTTCCCCAGAAGGCTTCCTTATCCCGTTCGGAGGAATTTCTGACCCGGATTAGCACAGAACTCACTGATGAAGCCTTGTTTATTGCTGGCTACCGCATGAACCGTGTGCCCACCAAGGAAAAGCAGACACAAGACCAAGGGACTCAGATATCTAAACACGGTGATTCCTGCCCCAGGACCACTGTGTCCAAAGACCCTTCCATACACCTAATTCCAGTCCCTGACCCCTCTCTAACCACAGTTGACCTCTCCAAGGATCCACGCCCATCTCCCCGATCTAGCAGCCAGCCCTAGGGCCTACGTAGTACCCTCCACCTACTAACCCAGTCCTCGTGCCTCACTGCCTGGCCAGGAATCCCCTAGCCCCTTCTGTCCTAGCCACATCTCTTTCTGGCCATGAGGATAGTCATTTCTCTAACTGGGGCCTTTACTTCCAGTGTTCATCACCAAGACCCGAGGCACAGATACCCGGTGAGTGAGACTTGAAGGGAGATGTCCTTTGTCCTGGGAGAAGGATGAGAAGCCTGTAGGGGAGAGAGCGAGGGTTTGACAACATCCCAGCAGGGTAGGGGGATTTTGAACCATGCAGTCCTATTCTATTCTGCCCTGACCCTTGAATTCAGAGTTCTCAGCTCTCTCCCTTCTCTTCTGCCATCTTTAGCTGTGACAGAAATCGTACCCGCACCAAAGCACACCTCCTGCCATCCCCTCGTGAAAAGGTATATATCTAAGGTCCATGGATGACAAGGCCATTCAGTTATTCACCAAATATTTAGAGCTCCCACTATATGCTAGTCCCTGTTTTAGGAGCTTGAGACACAGAAATGAATGATACAGTCTCTGCCCTTGAGTAATTCACAGTTTAGTATGGGAACAGACAAGTAAATGGCCAACTATAATATAATAGAAATGAAAATGCCCATAATACAAATGGAAACAAAGAGAAGAGCACTTATCCCAGCCTCTCTTGGGACAGAAGGAAAGAGATCATGGAAAACTTCCTGGAGGAAGTGACACCTAAAGAATTTACTAAGAAAACAGAGTTGGTAGGGATATTCCAAACAATGAGAATTGTATGTGCAAAGGCACAAAGGTGAAACTCAGTAGAGTGAGTGTAAGTATATATGTGTGTAGTTTGGGGAGGAGGGACGGGGCATAGGTAAATGGGTAGATGGCTAAATTCACTGAATGTTTATTAAACACTTTCACTATGTGTCAGCACTGCATTAGGGTCTCATGTACAGCAGTGAACAAAACAGACTTTCTGCTCTCATGGAGTTTAAATGGGAGGTGGGCAATTAGATGAAAGAGATGAGTGGGTGGGTGGATGGATGAGGGATAGATGGATGGCTGGGTGGATAGATGAATGGGGAGTTGTAGGTGTGTGGACGGAGATGGGTGGGTAGATGGGAAGTGGATAGATGGGGAATGGTAAATGGATGGGTAAAAGGAGAATGGTGGGTGGATACGTGGCAGGCAAATGGTGAATGGAGGTAGAAGGAGAATGGTGAGTGAATGGGTAAATGGATAGATGAATGAGGAATGGATGAGTAGAAAGAGAATGGTGGGTAGAGGGATAGATGAGTGAATGGATAGAAAGGTGGATGGATGGAGCTGGATAGAGGTTGGCTGACTGGGTAAAGGATGAAGGATAGACATGAGCCTTGGGTCTAAATAGACGAAAGATTCTTATTCTTTTCTAGGGACCCCTGCCTAGCAACTTGACATCTGGAGGATGATCCCAAGTCTCTTTGGTGCTGCTCTTGGCCTCTCATTCTCCCCCACCATTTTGTCCCTCTAGAAGATGTCTCAAAGCTCTTCTTTCACAACTCATTGAACACCTCAGTTTTGGGGGGACTCCTGGTTATGAGCAGCATCAACTCTGAAGCCTCCAAAGTGTTCCAGAACCATCACATGTCTCTTCACACTCAGCCAACAAGGACACCACCAGGGATCAAAGACTTTAATAAAGAGACAGGGATCTTCTCCTCCCCGCAACTCGGGCAGTACCCTGTGTGGCTTCTCTGGAAGGCAGCATTACCTGGGGTAGAAAGGCCCTTTTTTGCTGGGTATGGGCAGATTATTGGAATAGTTTTAATTCAGGCAGTTATCTATCAGCCTGTTGGCAAAGGCAAGCTCCTGGATCCAAACCTAGCCTCCTAGCAAACTCCAGCACCTTAGGGTCTAGGCCGGTGGCATCTGGAGGGGTCCACCTTTTCTTCCAAGGGGCCACCACTGCCACCAACATCGGTGCTGAGGACCCTGCACCTCTAACCTCTGGGGCTTATGCTTATGGGAACACCTCATACCAGATTAAGTAAAGTTCAATTAATTTGAAGAAGAGTTCTTTAGAGAAACACTATGAAGTCCTTATCATGTTCAAAAGGACACCCACAAGGGCACAAAACAAGCCCATCGTTTATGAAATCCTGCAAATCTGCATAATACTTGGTAGAAATGTAACAGTAGATATGCTTAAAATGCCAAAAACATGAGAAAGAAAAAAAATGGTATACTTAAATTTTCAAAAGGGGGGGGTGTGTTTTAGGTGAACTGGTCAGAAGACACATTGAGAGCTTTTGCCTCCTGCCTAATAGTGAGGGAGGAACTACTGTCAGCTACCTTCCAGCTAGACAAGCTTAGTTCTAGCCCATCAAGTCCTGCTGAAGAGGGAGCCAAGGCCCAGAGAGCAGCTTGTCCCAGCCAGTCCCTCACAGAGGCTGAGCGGAAAGCCAGGCCAGCCTACTTGATACTACGCTGTGTCCAGTTTTAGATTTCCATCATTTTTTCCAAATTGTTTTCCTTTCCCAGCCCTTCCTCCGAAGAGGACACCATCACCATCCCCGACACTCTGTTATTTGCCTCCCCACACCCCACCAGCCCAGCTACCAATGGTGATTTTCTGTTTATTGCTCAAAAACAAAAATCCAGAAGCAAAGATGGGGAGTTTATGAGTTGGGGAGAGCGTAGGAAGGGGGCAGTGGCTTGTCCCAGCTTTCCCCTTCATCCCTGATCTTCTGACCCAACAGGCCCAGGAGTCAGGCCTGGGGCCAGGGCATCTGGGGGTGATATAGCCTCTGTGCTCGAGGGAACTTTGGTACTGTCAGGTGGTGGGGCAGTCCTTGTGGAATGCCCTGGGCTGGAGGGGCCCCAGGAGTTACAGGGGAGCTGAGTTCCCCTCCCAGGGTCCAAAAGCCAGTGATGGGCACGCAGGGTGGGGGCAGGCCGCTTGTTGGCAACTGAGAAGAGGAGGTTTTAGGCGGCAGGATGCTGGTTTATTTACTGTAGGGTCTCCAGGGCCATCAGAGCGCCCTCATGGGACTGGGAGACTATTTACACAGCAGGAAGGAGAGGAGCCAGGAGCCAGAGACCAGGTGCTGTACTCCCCCCTGCCCAGAATGAAGAGGGGAGGGACGTCCTGGGTCCTGCAGCCTCTATCTTGGGGTTCAGATGGAAACTTCATATTCCCGTGTATCCTGGAGACAGAGAGATGGTATCAGTTGCTAGAGTAGGATGAGGGTGGAGGGGGCAGCAAAATGGAAAGAAGCATCCAAAAGAGTGAAAGACCCACCCAACGCTGATCACTGCGGATTCAGAGTCATGGGGTGTGGAGGGGACTGAATCTGGCCGATGGATCTGTTTGGTTTGTTCTACAGTGTCTTAAAATCATAAAAATCTTAATTTCTGGACTATCTTAAACAGTTGGGAGATCTGGCAATTGGGCCTAAATTTCCAGTTGACAACAACGGGCTAGAGCTGCATCCTTTAGATGGGGCACAAGTTCTCCAATTAGCTACAGTACTCCCAACTCCCTATCATTCACACCTGACTCACTTTGCTCACAGACATGGCCTTTGTAGGCAGCTGAGTCTGAAATTCCCAAGTAAGAGATTACAGAGACCTTGAGAGGAAGTTATGGAATCCTGGAGCTGAGAGTTGTGCCCCAGGGGTAGGGGAGGGACTCACCCCAGCTTCATACAACGGGTTGCTGAAGTCCGACTCCACAGTGATGGGGCTATAGGAGTGGGAGCCCGAGAAGCTGAAGAGAGATTTTCCCTGCAGCCTGGAAAAGTGAGGTGATGGAGGGGTTAGCAACAGGTGAGCCCCTGAGCTCCTTGCATCCCCAGGCTCCTGGGCGAGGCAGGCAGGAGGTTTGCTCCAGCCAGCAGCTCTCCAAGTAGGGTACTCACTTGGTGTAGTATATGTAAACACCACTGCCGAGGACGATGACCAAGCCTAGGGGCAGCAGGATCGCTAAGGCAAGGTTCCCACCCTCCAGCTGCCGTGACGGGTCTGTGGTCTGGGTCACTGGGGGGAGGAGAAGAGACCAATGAGCCAGGGCTGCCCTGGGCCCCGAACCCTGAACCCTGGGCCTCCCCCCTCCGGGGCCTGGCCTCCTACCCCCAGCCTCTGCCTCGCCCTCCCGACCTGGCCAGGGCCTGGGTCTCCACCTGTGCCTTCACTGACCTTCCAGTTTTCGGTTGTCCAGGAGCTCCTCATAGGCCACTGCAGGGAAAGGAGGGAGGGGAGGGGGAGGGGGTCTGAGCCAGGGAGGGGAAGGAGGCTGGGTAGAGGGCCAGGAGCCCAGTGGGGCTGGGCTGGAGAACCTGGTTCTCTCTGCCCTCTGCTCAACCTAAACTTTCTCCTTCCCTTAGTGGGGAGAGAGAGGGGAGTGGTCAGAGCAGGGTCTTCTACCTCCTTCTCCAGACCCATAGAAGTTCTGGGGGTCCTGGACAGTCTCAGCTAGGTCTTCAGAATTTGTCAGATAGGGAAATAGGTTTACCCAGAGAGGGCAACGGACTTCCAAACCAAGGTTCCCTCTACTATGTCCCTTAGCATAATTCCATGACACTGAATTTCCCTAGGACTTCTGGATGCACCCGTGAGGATGACAACCCACAGGAGGTGAATGGGAAGCTCAGCAGAGTCACCCATTGGTCTCAAATCTGCTACCTGATTTTCCAAGCCCTATCACTCCCCAACACTGATGTGCCCCTCCTGCCTCCAGCCCTGTCTGCCCAGGCACCTTTGCAGAGCGGGGGCTGGCTGGTCCACTGTGAGGGGTGGCCAGGCACACAGGTGATGGTGACCTCGCCGATGAGCTCAAAGCCCTCGTAGCAGAAGAAGCGCAGGGATTCACCCGCCTGGTAGTGATGCTTGTATAAGGTCTGGTAGCCATTCTCTGGAACTCCGGGGTTCAGGCATGGCTCATACTTCACTGCAGGGAAAGTGTCAGTCACATGCCAGCTGCACTATGAGCAGGTCCAGCGGGTGGCAGACAGGATCTCCCCAAAGTCACCCACCACCCTTCCCAGAGTGTCCCTCAGACTCACAGGCGCACTTGGGGACCCGGTCGCTCCACTTGGGCGTGCCCGTGTCCCGGCTGTAGCACGTGAGTACCGCCGCCCCCTCCAGGCTGTACCCCGGCAGACAGCGGTACTGGACATGGGAGCCAACAGGGAAGCCAGCGTCTGAGGCGGTGCGGTGCCCGTTGGTGATCTCACCAGGGTCGGCACAAGTCATGACTGTTGGTGGAAGGGCAAGGTCAGCAAGGGCCTTAATTCCTCAAAAGGTCTCAGAAGCTGAGAGCCTTGGGCCATCTCCCACCTTGCCCACCACTTCGCAGAATGAAGAGAGCAGGACTTGGAAAAACAAAATTCTGTACGTTTTATATTTCAGACTTCTTCCGCAAATAGCATGATTGGGGCAATCACAGGCTCCCACCCTAGGGTAATATATTCAAAATATTCAACCACTGTTCCAGAGCATTCCAGCTAAACACTAGCAGTGTCTGCCCTGCATGGCAGATGGTCCGGGGCAGAACAGCTGCTGGCCTCTTTAGAGGGGACACAGTGCTCCTGTTTCCCATCATTCCTACCATGGCCAGCCACCTTCGATCATTTTACTGCCTGTATGACCCCTGCAGGCATTTGAGTTTGCAACTCCTCTGTGGGAGAGTCAAAATCATAGCCATTTTTATATGTAACGTGTGCCAGGCACCCTGCTAAGCATTTTACAAACATGATACCATTTAACTCTCATGATCCCAAGAGGGCAATGTCACTGTCATCTCCCTCTAACAGAACTCACAATGGTCAAATGACTGGCCCATGGTCACTCAGCCAGGGAGTGGCAGAGCTGGGCCCTGCTCAGGGTCAGGGCCATAGAACACTGGACTGAGATTCAGTAGAGTTGGGGCTGAGCTTAGCTTTGGGTTCAATGTGCCACCTTGGGCAGGCTCCCTCCTGAGCCTCAGCTTGCTTCCTCCTCTGGGCCAGCTGAACTCTCATGAGCCCTGACATCCTGTGAATCCCTTTAGGGATGGGGAGCTCACTCTTTCCTCAGGTGTCACCTATACAGTTTTCCTTGTGTCCAGCCCAAATCCGGCTTCCTGAAACTTCTCCCCATTGGTCCCATAGGGCCACATGGAAGACTGACAGGGTTTCTGAAATTTGGAGAAAATGACAAGATGCCACCACTTTTTGCTCTTTTAAAAGATAAATGTTCCCAGTTCTTTCAAATGCCACCTCTTGTGAAATCTGCTGCCCCATACCTGAGAGAATGAATCCATCCCTCTTCCCACACTCCTTCGTATGTATAGCAGCTATCACTTACTTGCTGTTCACCTGCACAAGGTACTGCATTAAAAAAATTTTATTTGCTTCTCACAACCCCCATTCCTAATTCACCTATGAGGAAGCTGAGGTTCAGAGATGTTAAGTACCTTGCCGGAAGCCACTCATTGGTTACTTTTCTGTATTATCTGTAGGAATCTCTCCCTCTCACAGACTGTGAGCTCCGTCAGGGTAGCTCACAGGGTAGAGGGGTCTGAACTCCACATAATCCCAACCTAGTACAAGGCTTCGATGACTGCCTTAAAATAAGGTAAGTTCTCACATTTTGATAAAAGATTCTATAGAAGAACCCTGGTCGAAAGGGAGAAAACGCAGAAAAGAATTTCAAATTCTCATGGAATCCAGATTTGTTGGAGCCACGGAGGCTGAGTGAATCCCTGAAAGTATTGCCCTGAGATAATCTTAAACCAAAAATATCCCCTGAAGTCTTCTCAAAACCAAACAATAGTTAAGCTTAACTAGTAAAGAAAGTCTGCCTTGAGCGTTGTACTCTTTTAAGATCTATCCATATGGGATCAATTTGACAACAGCAACTCGAAAGATTAGATGGGAAACCTAGGGGCAGTGAGTTTGTGTTAACGGAGGAGGAACAACTCGGAAAAGGAGGGTGAGAATGGTTGCAGAATTCAAAGAATGTAATCAACGTCACTGAATTGTACATGTAGAAATTACTGAATTGGTGTATGTTCACAACAACAACAAAAAGTAAAACAAACTATTTACAAAAATTAAAAAGGCAAGTTCTCTGAAGAAACTTGGCCTTAGCAAAGCGACTCCTCAGAATGTCAGGGGTGGGGAGATCGAGAGATTGGGGCGGGGTCTGGAACAGAAAGGCGGAACCAAGAGTTGATGGGGCGGAGCCCAGCGGGATGCGGGCAAAGCCAGGTGTAGAAAGGGGTGGGACTCAGAGCACAGACAGAGGCAGGGGGGTGCGGGCGGAGCCAAGAAAAGATGAAGCGGGACCCAGCAGAAACTCTGACAGCGCCCGCAGCCGTAGAACACGGAGGTACGCAGCCCGGTAAGATGAGAGCGGGGCCCAGAGGAGACAGTTGCAAGGCACAGAGCGCAGGGATGGAACCCAGACAGGACGGGGGCACGGACAGAAAAGGACGTAAACGGAACCCAGAGGGGGGTGGAGGCGGGGCCAGAGGGGATGGAGGCGGAGCCCAGAGCGGAGGGGCGGAACACAGACGGGCGGGGCGGGGCTCACTCTTTTGGCAGGCGGGCGGCGCGGCGCTCCAGGACAGGTCCCACTGGCAGGTGAGAATGTCGGACCCGAGCAGCTCATAGCCAGGCTCGCACTGGTAAGTGAGCACCGTGCCCCGGATCAGATCCCCATGGGACGCCGTCCTCCAGCCCCACTCTGGAGGTGGCAGCTCCGGGCATGTGTCGTTCCTCGGGACCTCTGCAGGGGAAAGACGGCGAGTTGGAGGCTGCCTTTTGACTCAGGGCGCCCTTCCAGTCTCGCAGGCCTCGCCCCGGGGCGCCTTCCCGGGCTTGCTGGCCTGCTGGAGCTCTACCCATCTTGAGCGCCTAGTCTCCAGTACCTTTGAAGTGCAGCACGAAGCCCTGGCCCAGGCCTGGGTTTGGGGGCCCGGGCGGTGCCTGGAACTGCAGCGTGAGGTCGGGCCCGGAGGAGAGGAGGCGACGGCGCGGCTGAGGTCCCCGCAGTTGGGCCAGGACTCGGGCACTGGGACCGTCCCCGTCAAATAGCGTCAGCATGTCCCCTTCACGCACATTCAGGCTGCAGAGAGTGGGGCCAGATATATGCACGGGCTACAACCGGACCCTCCCATTCAGTTCTGCCTAATCCCCAACTCTGTTCATTAGTAACTCTACCTACTCCCCAGCCCACCCCCATACATCACAGGTTTCTCCCCTTTGCTAGTCCCTTCACGTTCCACTAGTTCTGTGGCTCCTCCCAGTTCCTGCTGCCCAATCCCCAACCCCGCTCATTACTAATTCTTCCCCTCTCCAGTCTCTCCTCCATCCCCACAGATCCCAGCCTAGCCCAGCTCCAGCTCTGGCTAATCACAGACACTGCTCATGACCACCCTGCACAACTCCAGACCCTGTTGGAGTACCTGCTTTTTGGCTTGCCCACTCTGGTTCTGTCCAGTCACATGACCACCTCATACTAAATCAGCTCAATGGATTCTCCCTATCCCCACCTTCACCCTGAGTGCTGGTGATGATGACACAGCTTGGGCCTGGGTCCCTGGAAATCACTCCAGGGGCAGCCTCAGAAATCAGCGAAGGCCAGAGCCCCTTTTTCACAAAAGCCCCTAAGGAAGGCTGCATTACCCCCACTTACTTGTCCAAGGTCACCTGGCTAATGAGTGATTTGAACCTAGGTCAACTGGCCACCCCTTCCCCCCATCATGAATCCTTTGCCCCCACTTTTCTTGGACGATATATTCACTGAATCTCGCGTAGAAATAAAAGGGCCAGTCAGGCTTAGAATGCAAGCTGATCAGCCAACATAAGACACTTGGCTGAGCCCACACCCACACTTGGCTGAGCCTACACTCACACCCTCTACAAGATACACACATACATCTCAACTTGGAGCAAGATGCGCTTCTCTTCCTGGACATGCAGGCCCCACACGCAGTCCTGGCCGGGGCTATAGCTCTGGGGCCAGTCGGGAGAGAGGACCACACCAGCGGGCTCGGACAGCTCCCCTCCACACATGGCTGCAGTGGAAGGGGTGTCAGATTCAGGACCCAGGTGGACATACAGCCTCCATTTCACCACAGTCCTCCCCACTCCCAATCATTTGCACCAGTCTGCTTCAAACATTTCCCATTATCTATTATCCACTTGTTTCTTGCTACTTCTAGGTCCTGTTGCGCCCAATCCCTAACCCTGCTCTTAATGAACGACACCCGCTCCCCAGCTTGCCCATCACCACCATCCATGACTTAGCGCAATTCCAATTGTGGCTCTTGAAGGCGTTTGGGTTTGTGACGCCTGAATTCTATAACAAGTCTACCAATTATTCAGCTAAGAAAACTGCTGAGGCTCTGACAGGAACAGGATTTACCCAAGGCTTCGATATGAAGGTCTCTCTCCTGAATGACCTTTCTAGGATCCCCAGTTCAGGGGGTAGTCTTTAGTCTGAAGGATTCCTTGGGAGATGGGGGACTCACCCTTGCAAGCTGGCTCTGTGTCATTCCAGTGGGGTTCTGTGGAATCTATGCATTCGATGGCATTGGGGGGTCCGGGGGGCTCCAGGGCATATCCTGGGAGGCATGAGAAGGTGGCCAGCGCCCCTGGGCGATACTCAGGGTCCGTGGTGGTGACATTGCCATGTGCCAGGAAGGGAGCGAAGCAGCGATCCTCCTCAAAGGCTAGAGAGGAGTCAGTCACAGAAACTAAGCACTAGGACAGGTCCCAAGGGATCTCAAACTGGGGGCCTCGGGCTGAACTCAGATGTGGTTTGGCACTCAGTGGGCTATTTAAAAGTTGATTGCCCTTGGACTTAACTTTCACTCTCCATTTTGCCAAGACCCCAAACACTCCTCATTCGCACATTTATGTTACCTCCTTGGTCTCTGGAGGGAAATCCCTAGGCTAGTCCAACCCCAGCCACCATTCTACAGATCAGGGAACAGAGGTCCACAGACACAAAGCCACTTGGCCAAGGTCACATAGCTGGACAGTGGCAGAACCAGGCCTCCAACCCAGATCACTTGATTTCCAGTCACCACCATGTGGCTCTGGAAACTGCAAAGTGTGGGGAAGAGGTGCTTTTGGAGAACTGGCTTGTGTAGGTGTGTTCTCTTCTCAAAAATAGCAGTCAGATTCTGACCATCCCTGATTATCTATGCTGTTGCTAGAATCCAAAATTGCAGTGAATTCAAAAGCTACTCAGTTTGGACTTTGGGCCAAGCCAACGAAAATGAACACTTGTCGAACACTTTCATTTTTGTCCACCTGATCACATCTTAGCTGCAAAACTACCTGAAAGGTTTAGACTTAGGTTCCTGTGCTACAAATGAAGAATCTGAAACTGATGGAGATGCAATGGCCCACAACTATGGGGCCAGGCTGCAAAGCCAGGAATTCTTATTAAAAGGCCAGCACTCGCTTTGCTTTAGCACTCTCAGAATCTATCAAACAATTTATTTTTGCAGATCTACTGACCAATTTCACTGTTACATAACCTGATGAGGCGTCATGTTAAAATCCTACCCACCCATCAGGACCCAGTGCCATCCATTTCTCCCATAATTCATACCAGAAGCTAACCCTTCCCATTTCTGTTTTGCTTGCTTTGTCTCTTTCCTGCTACTGTTTGCACAAATCCTCTGCTCTAGCCACACTCAAATTGTTTCCCCAAATACCGGGACTTTCTATAGCTCCTCAATTTTGCTCACACTGTTCCTTCCACCTGGGATGCTCTTCCCCAATCTTCCTCTATTAAAATATTCTCCATCCTTTAAGACTCGGCTCAAATGCTTCTTCTCCCATGATCACTGACCTCCGAGCAGGAAATGACTTTTACCTCCTCTGAATGAACACAGCTTTCTCCATCTTGTCCACAAGGTACCTTTATTGTAGCTGATAAATGTCTCCAGCACATGGCTACTGTTTCTATCTGCCTGGCATCTGTTTCCTCACCTTTTGGTCACACCTCTATTCTCCTTTGGGGAGACACATCAGAGATGACAATGTAATGTGGGTCTGCCAATTAGAACACCCCCCTAGCTACAGTAATTGCCTCAGGCATAGGCACATGACCCAAGCCAGACCAATGAGAGCCTTTCCTGGCATTTTCTGCTGATGCTCTCAGGAAAAAGATGCGCTTTCTCCTTCTCTCTCTGAGAACCTGCCTGAGAATGAACCCAACACAGAGGAAAAAAGAACTGAGAGATTGAGATAACTGGTCTCCTGACTGCACGCCTGGATCTAGCCATACCTGAAGCTTAACAGAAAAAGCCACCCGAGGGAATTAGAAGGCATCCGTATGAAGTGATCTTTGTAGTTTTAGGGTAAGGGTACAAGTCAGCTTTCAGAGATTCAAACACAGATGGGCAGTAATGGAGCATGTGACCATGCCTGGTGGTCAAAAGGAGAAGAAGGTGCAACGGTTGGGGCCCGGGAGGAGGGGAGACAGTTACCTTCAAATCGGAGGCTCAGCAGCAAGGGGTTGGCAGGTGTCTCTGATAGCAGCTCCACATAGAGGGATTGGGCATCACTGATGAGACCTCGTTCTGGGACATCATCCATGTCCGAGTCATAGATCACCGGGGATAAGGGACCACCACCCGAGCGCACCATCAGCCTGAAACAGACAGAAGGGTGGATGGAGCTCTCCTAACTTATTATTATGTGCCATGCACTCTTATAAGAAGCCCTTTACACATTTTATCCCATTTAATCCTCACAACAACCCTTGAGGCAGATACTAATATCCCTCATTTTAGAGATGAGGAAACCAAGGCACAGAAAGATTAAGTAACTTGCCTAAGATCACATAGCAAGTAGTGGCAGATCTGGGATACCAGTTTGTTAGATAAAGAGTAATAATACTGTTGCTGCTGGAAAGACTTTTAGAGTTCTTACTGTGTGCTAGGCACCATTCTAAGCACTTTACATATCTTAGTACATTTATCCTCACAGAAACCTTAATAGGAAGATAACCATTATCTCCATTCTACAGATGAATAAACTGAGGCACAGAGAGGTTAAGGGACTTGTCTAAGGTTGTCCACTATACTGCCTAAGAAAGGGGAAGAATTAAACTGTGTTTGACCCCTAGCCCAATTGGGATCTAGTCCAGGTCTGTCTGACCCCCACTGTAACCTCCCTGCTGCCCTGAGGCCCAAATGCTTACCTGTCATTGTCCTCATCTAGCGACACTCTTTCGAAGTGCAGGTGCAGCCGGCGTCCCTCGGCTGCTTCAATGACCCAGCGGCAGGTAAGGTTGGGCCCCGCTGCTCCCCCGGGCTCGGGGGACACAATGCGGCCCAGTGTAGCATTGTGGATGGTGCCACCACAGGATGCTGTGGGCAGAGGGGGTAGGTTAAGGCCAGTCTGGGGTGACTTGTCCTTCTCCTAGGAGCCTCAGCCCTTCACAGTCCCATTGTCAGAAATGTTGCATCCACAACGTTGGCTGGGACCTGGCCCAGGGATGGCCTCTGCCCCACAGGCTTGCCCCAGAGGACAAGACCTTCTCCAGTTCACCACCCAGGAGGGGAATCAGCCCTGGAATAGAAAAGCCCCAGGACAGGCACCCCCTAGGATGGAGATTCCGCTAACATGAAGACTCCCTGGATAGGGACAGCCTGGGATGAAGACCCCCATGATTCAGACCCCATGACGGAGACCCCAGTTATAGGGATACCCAGAATTGAAACACTCAGGGGAAAACCTTCAAGATAGGGACTCCCAGAATAAAGGCTACAAAGGATGGGCTCCCCAGGATGGAGACCTTCCAGATTATGGACCTGAGAATGGTTTCTCCTAGGATGAGGATGGCCCTAAGGAAGGGCCCCCCCAAAATGGTGACTCTCAAAATGAAAACTCTCTAGCTGGGACATCTTAGGAGACCCCCTGAGGATAGAGGCCCCCAGTATAGAGACATAAGAGACACCAGGATAGAGACTCTTCAGGGTAGAAACCCTTCAAGATGAATTTTCCCCAAAGATGGAGGCCTCCAAGATTGGATTCTCCCAATGGGGTCTCCAGGACAGATGCCCCCACCTGTGGTGGCAGAAGACTTACCCATGCAGCTAGGGGGTTCACTGCTCCAGGCTGGCCGGGTGCCATTGAGGCAGACAAGGGTCTCCTCACCCTGCAGCTGGTAGCCCGAGTCACAGTGGAAGGTGGCAGTGCCTCCAGGGTGCAGGTCTGTCACACTCACGTCCCCATGGGCTGGCCGGGGAGGGAAGCCACAGCTCAGGAGGTAGGCTGGACCAGGCAGAGCAGGGAGAAGGAGGACTTATTTTCCCATGCCACTTTGTCACCCATCCCCTAGAGCTTGCTCCCCTCCTCCAGATTCCCGGAGGTTGAGGGGCACAAGTTAGCTCTACACTGGAGTCCACACTGAAGAACAAGGGCCTCTCATACGGGCACACCTCCTTCCAAAGAGGTAATATCAACATCCCTTCTCTCTCCTAATCTTTGTCATCTACCCACTTTGGTCTCCATTTTATAGATGAGGAACTGAGGCTCAGAGAAGTTATTCTGGATCCTGGCACTCATTTGCTTCATGACCTCAGGCAAATCAACTGATCACTGAATTCTGTCCAGCTCTAATAATCACAAATAGTATTTGCAGGGCTTATTCAGCTTCCAAAGTGGGTTCACTGGGTACTTTTGAGGTAGGCAGAGAAAGACTCGGTGACCCATTTACCAAATGTGGAAACTGAGGCTATTAAGTAATTAAGCGCCTCATAGCATTTTCTCCCTTCCACACAAAGACTTTTCCTCCGCTGAGGCACACTGTGGTATTGTGCCCTTATCTCTCATCTAGGGAAGCCAGATGAAACTACTTTAGGAACTTTGACTATTTTGTCTTTAAAGAGCTTATGGTAATACTCAGTGCCCTCAGTAAAAGTAAAGTGCTGGGAAAAGCTTTGTTTCCCTTGAGGAACTGGTGTGTCTTCTCCTTTCTTGCAGGGACACATGTGTAGTCTCCCTTTTTGCACTGGATGCCAGGAAGCTCAGAACCAGGTTGAGGCTTGTTTCTAGCAGCAATGGTCTGTACAACCACTGGATGCCAACTTGTTTCTTATTGACTCTATATAATTGTATTGCTTGCATTATTTTTTGTAAGCCTCCTAAAATCCTTGTGTAATCAGATGGGATAAAACAAACAAATAGAAAGTGACTTGGCAGTAAATGATGGACTCTAAACTTGATCCTACAGAGCTTTGTGTGTCTGTGTTTCAGAATCAGGCAGAACTCATCAAGAAGGGCTTTCTGGAGGAGGTGCAATAAAACTAGGACTTGAAGGAGAGGCAGACTTGGGTTAGCAGAGAACTTGGGAGATACCACCTTGCCTGGGCCTTTGCTTTCTCTGACTCTCCAACCCTGAGTGATTTTATGAGAGACCTAAGTCCCTCCCTACTTCATAATTCAACGAGCACTTCCTGGGTGGGCACTAAGGACACAGATGAAAAAGACCCAGGCTTTGACTTTCAGGAGCCTACAGTTTACTAAGGTAGTAGATACAAAACCAACCTTCTAGAACACAGTGATTTGCATAATAAGCCCATTGCCCTCGAGTCAATTCTGACTCATAGCAACCCTATAGGATAGAGGAGAACTGTCCTATAGGGTTTCCAAGGAGCAGCTGGTGGATTCAAAGTGCCGACCTTTTGGTTAGCAGCCAAGCTCTTAACCACTGTGCCACCAGGGCTCCAATTTGCATAATGTACCCTCTGTAATGATTCTCAGTGGCCCACAGAATCAAGTCCAAATGCTTTAGAATGACATTCAAGGCCCTCCGCAGCTGAGTCCAACCCAGCACCTCCAGCTTTGGTTCTCACCACTCACAACCCGTGTATCCTACACAAAAGTTTTGTGACTCCTTGAGGTCCCACCTTCATGCTTGTGCTCATACCATTGCCCCTACTTGAAAGGATCTCTCCTCTCACTTTCTCAGCTTTCAGAGAGTATCTTAAATATGACCTCTTCCAGGAAGCCTTCCTGATGCCTCCCCTCCCCAACAGAGGTAGTTGCTCCCTTGTCTGTATACAGTCCTACGTGCATAATTCAGTCATCACATTAACCACCATCTATTGCTTTCCCCGTGAGATTGAACTAAGCCTTATTTAAAAATTTTTTTTAAATCAATTTTTGGTCTTCTAAAAATCTAGTCAACTGACAATTGATGCAGCCAAGAGGCAGTGTGGAATGGTACAAGAGCACTGGATTTGGAGACAAGCAACCTGAGTTCCAGTCCCAGCTCCGTGATTTATTGCTGTATGACTTGGAGCAGGTGACTTCACCTCTAGGGGCCTCTCACCTGTAAATGGCAATAATAATTCCTACCACTGAGGATTGGCCTGAAAGTTAAATTAAAAAAATACACAAAGCACCTGGCACAGAGAAGGTGCTCAGAAAATGTTAAGCACCTACCTTTCAGCCTCAGTTCATGACTAACTGGGAGCCAGGGACTCTGGGGTCTGACTTCTAACTCTGCAATGAATTTGCAGGTGGCTGAGCAACCCACATAACTTTTGAGTGTTTTTGCACCTCTGAAAGATGGGGCTGACAACAACCATCTCCCAGGTTGCTGTGAGAAGCAAATGAACTCATGGTTGGTGAAAGGGCTTTGTAAATGGGAAAGTTTGCTGGACTTGGGGTAAAGGGTAATGGAGCCTTTGGCCTTTCAGAGAAAGTAATGGGCTGCTGTGGACCAGAGGCCCCAGTTTGTGCAAGTTGGAAAGGGCTTAAACAGGGCCTCGGTTCCAAGGGTGCCTGGAGCAGCTGCAAAGCAGGGAAGGCCAAGGCAGGTAATGAAGGCCAATTTATGTAATAGCCCTGCTTCCCCAAATGTTCCACTTAGCCTCTGAGTCCTATTTTAAATGCCCTGGGGAAGTGGCTGCTGAGAGAAGACAGTGCGGATCCATTTTGTTAGGTATATCTGAAGTTCAGCCCTTGGCCCTGGGCCCCCACCAACCATGTTCCCCACCAACCAGGCCCACTGCCACCAAGTACACGCGCCTAGCTCACTGGTCTCTTTAGGAATAGGCCGAGTGTTGGGTTCCTCTGCCTTGCTCACGTGAGCCCCTGGGGCAGGTTCTGAGCCTCAGGAGAAGCAGGAGAGAGAGGCTGGAGAGGATGTGAGGAAGAGACATAAGTTGTGTCTAGAGACGGTCCACAAGGGACCTGGGGTCAGCAGAGCTCATGAGGGGCAGGGTACGTGGAGCCAGGAAAGGCTATGAGGTGACATGGCATTGACACCAACATGCAGGTCCTTCTCTGTTTCTGAGGAGCACAGGAAGAAGGGACCTTGGAGACTGGGGACAGTGGACCGGGCCCCTTGCCTCATGCACACGTGTATGCTAGAACACACACTAGCACTGTGGAAGGTTCCTGTACACCTAGGTGGGTATGAGTGTAGTCACGTGTGTAGGTTGTCTGAGGGGTGAGTGCTTATGAATGCAGTCGTGCACGGATATATCCCCACCCCACCCCTCTAGCTCCCAGAAGTGTCACTCTCTGAAGGCTTAAAACATTTCAAAATGCCTCCCCCTCACCCACAAGATGAAGTAGTTTGAACTCATTATTGAAGCGGATAAGGCCCTCCATGATCTGAATCCAGCCTGCCTGCTAGCCTGGCCTCAGCCCACCTCTCTTCCACCACTGTCTGTGCTTTCACTATGAGAGCAATAACTGACACCTTTTGAATTCTCACCATGTACCAGACATTGTTTTAAGCACTTGCCAAGCATTAACCCATTTGATCTTCCTAATAATACCATGAGGTTGGTATTATGATCCCCATTTTTCAGATGAGACTGTGAGGCACAGAGAGGTAAGTAACTTGTCCAAGGTCACACAGCTAGGACAATTCTGTTTTTCATGCTGAATTACTTCAGTTCCTCAAGGGGTCACATTTTCTCACCTCTCTGGTCTTGGAATGTGCTTTTGCATCCATCTAGACACCTGCCTCCCTCCTTGCCTCCTTCCTTCCCTTCCCCTGACTAACTCATCCTTTAGAGCTCAACCTAGATATCACTTCCTCCAAGAAAGTGTCTCTATCTTCCTTAGTAGAAACTTAGGTTCGTTTGATATTTGCTTCCCCTGCCTGTATTTCTTCCATCATAGTCCTTATCTCATTGAATTATAATCATCCTGATTACTTGTCTCTCTACCTAGATTCTGAGTCCCTTGAAACCAGATTTCTACCTGGTTGTTCATTCCTCTCCCCAAGGCTAACACAGGGCCTGGTCCAAAGTAGACACTCAATAAACCTTTGCTGAGTGAATGGATGAACTACCACTTGGATGTGTGCATATGCAGACGTAAGTCTGTGAGTGGTGAGACAAGCATGTATGGTCTCCTTTGAGGGTTATGCTCCCCAGGGCCCCAGTCAGGGGGGGAAGTCCCTGTGCTTGGAGAGATCCCAGAGCTGTTCCCTGTGCCCAGAGTGTCCTCTGCCCTTCCACCAGGACCCTCACCCTGATAGTGGATCCTGAAGCCACTGCCTCTTGGGGCCCGCGGGCTCTGGAAGTGCAGGAGCAGCCGGTTGGTTGGGCTCCGAAGGACCTGTCCTTCTCCCAACATGGAGGAATTGGCCAGGAGTCTGGGGGCCGGGCCTGGGGAGCCTCCGCCAGCCAGCACCAACAGTTCCTCTTCCCGAGACAGGTTCAGCATCTGCACCTAAAGAAACCAGCACGAGTCAGTCAGGGTGGGTGACTCCCTAAGACCCCCTGCCTTCCCTTTCCATTTGTAGTGGCCCAAACACCATGACGATATTAGTCAAATTGTAGAACTCCAGGAGAGTCTTTGAGATAATCTGAGTCAGAAAACAGGCCCAGGGAGGGTTGTTGCCACACAGCCCAGGTTCTTTGGCTCCCAGACAAAACCTGTGCACATTTCTGGGCCCAGAATAAAGGACATGGACGTTTCAGATGCTTAGGTCCAATTACCTGGATCTCAATTCCATAGCCAGGGTAGACGTGGATGCTGTAAGTGCAGTCCAGGAGCCCCAAGGTGCGGCTGGCGGTGCTCCCCAAATCTGGAGACTCCAGATACCCTTCACCCTCGGAGATGTTGTTGTTACACAGAACTAAAGGGATATAAGTGGCTGGAGTTGAGAGAAGCCCTGTGTTCTTGTCCTCCCCGCCAAGCAACTCCCAGAGTCCTTAGATGTCTTCTCCCCAGCTCTCATTACCAACCTTATCCAGTGCCCTCGCTCCCACCTGGGCCCAGAACTCCCTTCCCCAACTGTAAAACAGATAAAACACATAGAAGGGTGCCTGGCACATAGTAACGAAACCAAACTTATTGCCATCGAGTCAATTCTGACTCCTGACAACCCCATGTGTTATGGAGTAGAACTGCTCAATGGGGTTTTCTTGCCTGTAATCTCTACAGAAGCAGATCACCAAGTCTATCTTCCGTGGCACCTCTGGGTGGGTTCGAACCACCAACCTTTAGGTTTGTAGTTGAGTGCAAATCATTTTACGCCACCAGGGATCTTGGCACATAGTTTTTGTTGTTGTTGTGTGCCGTGGAGTCGATGCCAACTCATAGCAATCCTATACGACAGAGTAGAACTGCCCCACAGGGTTTCCTAGGCTATAATCTTTACTGAAGCAGATTGCCAGGTCTTTTCTTCTGAAGAGCAGCTGGTGGGTTCAAACTGTAGACCTTCTGGTTAGCAGCTGAGCTCTAAACCATTGCACCACCAGGACTCCTTTGGCACATTAACCAAAACAAACCAAGCCATTGCCATCAGTTGATTCCAACTCACAGCGGTCCTACAGGACAGAGTAGAACTGCCCCATAGAGTTTCCAAGGCTGTAATCTTTATGGAAGCAGACTGCTACATCTATCTTCCTCGGAGCTGTTCGTGGGTTCTAACCACCAACCTTTGGGTTAGCAGCCCAGTGCTTTATCCACTCCGCCACCAGTGCGTCTTTGGCACATAGTAAGGGTAGATAAATGTTAGCCTTTATTATTATTATGCAGAAGTCTCTCTCCCATCTGTACTGTACTCAGAACCCCTTCTTCCACATATTCGCAGAAGCCCACTCCCCCATCTAGACCTAGAATCCTCCTTTCCTACATGTGCACTCTTGGACACCACCTTCACGCCTTTTTAATAGCCTCACCTGGGCTGGTCACTGTGGTGGTGACAGTTGTTGTGGTGATGATGGTTGTGGTGGTCTCCTCCTCCCCTCCCTCAGGCCTGAGGGGTGGGCCTGGGGAGGCGGGGCCGGGCAAGGGTGGGGCAGTAGTTCCTGGGGGCGGGGTCAGCAGCTCTGGCGCGGTGGGGCCTGCTCCCCTGGCCCCCTTCGGGGTCACGGCTGTCGTCAGAGGCCCTGTCCCTGGCTCAGTGGCCCTCAGCAGGTAGGGTGCTGCAAGAGTCTGGCCGGCTGGAGGGGTGGCTAGTGTGGGGTCTGGATCAGATCCTGGGACAGTGCAAGGGAAGTCAGGGCACATGAGGAACAAATTGGGAGCCCTGGCTGCGGGTCAAGGCTGAGGGAGAGTGGGAGTCCATTACTGAACACAAAAGGCCTCCCCAAGGGTGTAGACTCCCCATCTTTCCCCTCCCTACCCAAGCTTCCACCTCCCCTCCTCCCAAGACTTCCACAGCCTGACCCTCACCCCTCTCTTCCCCTCCTAGGTCTCATCCCAGGCCCTTCCACCTTGACTGTCTCCTTGAGCTTCCCTCTCAGCCTCCCCATTCAGATCTGGCTCTCTTCTGGTCACCCCTTTCTTCTCTATGTCTCTCTTTTGCGCTCTCTGGAACTCTTTATTTCTCCATATAGTATTCTTATCTCTCTTGGATTTTGTGGCTCTACTAGTTTCTGGATCTCCCTCTCCCACCATTATTTCTCTGAATCTGTGTGGTTCTGAGCTTCCATCTGTCTTTCTCTGTGTGTGTCTGTTCTTCTGCCTGTCTCTTGATCATCCTGTCTCTGTTTCTCTGGCTCTCTGACTGTCTACGCCCAGTCTGACTCTCTCCAACTGTCTCTCTGTCTCCCTCTGAATTTCAATGGCCTTTCCGGGGAGTCTCATCCCCCTTTGCAGTCTCTCTCTCTCCTAGCCTGGCTCCCCAACTCCCCGAATCTCTCCTTCTGTCTCTATCACTTCTGCCACTCTGGGAGCCTCACCCGGCAGGTAGCTCATCTCCGGCAGGTAGCTCATCTCCGGGCCTCTTCTCAGCAGGGCCCCATGGAGCAGCTCAGCCAGGGCCTCAGAGGCCACCGTGGGGGTCTGGCTTCCAGGATCTGGCAGTGCCTCCTCCTCCGTCAGGGGCAAACCTAGGAGGTGAAGTCGTGTGAGCCCTTCCCCTTCCACATGAACCCCTCCTTTCTTTAGAAAGGTCCTTTCCAGAGCTCTTCCTCCTTCCTTATTCTGTTAGCTGGGCCTGCAGGGGCTCACAGGGTCCCAGAATGGGCTGAGAGCCAAGATTGGGGGAGGGGATCCCAGCTGCCCCTCCCACTCCCCCTCTGCCCAGGCGGCTGGGCTTTCAGTAAGCACCTTCGCTGTTATGGATGCTGGACAGCACTATCAGGGCAGATGGGGGGCATTAGTCAGTGCTGCTTTCCTTTTCACCTCAGTGGCGCTCTCCCCCAACCCTGGGGCTCTGCGGAGGGTCTGGCAGCAAGCGCCTCCCAGCCCTCGCTTCCGCAGTGTCCCAGCTTTCTATCTGGGTTTCTCTCTCTTGAGTGTGGCTGTCCTCTCTGTCTCTCCCTCCGGTTATCTGCAGTCTCTGTCTCCTTCCCTGGAGTCTGGCTGGGGGTCAGAGTAGGGGATTGAATATCTGGTCTCTGAGCTTTGCCTCCGTCCATCTGTCTTTGTCCACAAGTCCAAGAACATTTGTGTATGCAGCGCCTGGCGTCTCTCCCATCACCTCCATCTCTGACCCAGGTATCCTCCGCGGTTCTGCCGCCTCCGCAGACATCACCCGCCCCAACTTCCCCAGCCCTCCTTCCTGGATTTAACCTCTAAGATGCTGCTAAAGGCTTCCCTCATTCATTTCTCCACTGCCTCATGATGAGGGGTTAGAGGCTCTAGGAACAAGACGGAAAGCTCCGGCATGCCCCTTCCCTGTCCGCGGTGCCCCTCCCCTCCCCCCGCGGCTCGGAAGACCCAGGGTGTTTGGAGAGAGGAGGGCGGAGGACCCCGCTGGGAGCCGTACCGGGGCCCGCCCCCACATTCCCTTGTCCTTACCCTGAATCCAGGGACTGCTCAGCAGAATCAGGAACAGCAGCTGGGGAGGCGGCCGATGCTGGGCCCTGGGGGTCCCCATGGCGACTCACCCCGATTTCTCTCCTCTGCGCCTCTCCTAAATAATCTAGTTGCCGCCTTTCCTCCGTCTCCTTTTATCTTTCCTTCAATTTTTTTTTTTTTTCTCCTTCTAGGGGTCAGGAAAAGAAGACAATTTCTGTGCCCCTGGGATGGAGGGGTGGAATAGGGCTGGGGGGCTCCTGGAGGCCCCCCTTGCCCAGTCTCTTCAGTCTTCTGCTCCCGGGTCTGTGGTAGAAGGGGGCGCGGCTCCGGGAGCGGGGGGTGGGGCCGAGAGAGCCAAAAAGGCCGGGTCGCTCGGGTTACCCTCCTGCTTGGGCGCCTGGGTCCACCTGGCTGGCTGAATCCCGAGCTGGGGATGTGGGCAGGGGCAAGGCGGTTTCCAGAGCCCTGGGGTGCGGTTGGAAATCGGGAGGGTCTCTACTGGGCTCTAGCGGAGCTCGGCGGGAGGGAGGAGCGGGGTGCAGAATCGGGAGAGTGGAAGCTCGGGCACTGGGGCTGCGGGAGAGAGAAGCGGAGAAAGGTGTCGAGAGCTCACGTCAGATCCTGGGGACGGTCGAGGGGAGGGGCCTAGGATTTATTTTTTGGGGGGAGGAGGAAGCGCAGAGGGAGGAAGGAGGGACCATTTGAGTGAGGACGTAGCCCTCACTCCCGCGGCCCCTAGGGGAGGCAAAGGAAACTCTCCGGTCCCAGCAGTAATTACTTCCCCACACCCCCTACCATTTCAGCACATCTGGAATCTGAATCTCCTCTTCCCAGGGCGCCGAGAGGCGGCACAGCTGGGTTCGCACCTGCTCTGGCCCCCCAGTATGCCCCCTCCCCACATCCGGACCCTTGGTGGGACTTCTTCCCTTTTGCAGAAGCTCATGTGGAACGGGCTACCCCCTCCCCAAGGAAAATGGAGAGTTTCCACGTTCGTGAGAAGTCTAGTGTGACGGGACACGGCCTTCTCTTACATACAACATGCCCCCGGCCCGCTGCCAGGCGGCTTCAACTCTGATTTTCTCTCCTGGGCTCCCTCACACGCCTGTGGAGCGCGCTGTTTTCAGCACCACCAGCGAGCGGACAGCTCTCCTCTCCGCCCCGCCTGAGCAAGCCCGTCGGCGATTGGCTGAAGCCGTTTTCACTGTCGATCTGGCTCACGCCCAGGGCGGGCTCTTGTGAAGGCGAAAGGGTAGGGGAGTCACAGGCTAACAGACGGAAGAACCGGGGGGATCAACCGCTAGGCCGCGGCTTCCCAGTCCCAGTACCCGAAGGCCATCTCTGTCTGCCAGTGGGTGCACTCGCTCCGCCCCTGGATTTGACCTGCCCCCGCTCAGGCCCCGCCCCCTTCTTTTCGCATTGCGGGCGGCTGGAGGTTGGCGCAGTGGCCCCTGCTGCCCCACGTGGCGCCCTGTGGGGGCAGGAGGGGGTATGCAGATCCCAAGACGACTCCCCCTGCCAAGCCTGAGTTGCGGCTGCCTCAGGGCGGGGGCGAGGGTACCGAGTTGAGAGGGCTGCGGGGAGGGGTGACGTCAGGGTGAGTGGGAGTCAAGGAAGGAGCGAGTAGAAGAGAGGAGCGAGAGGGAGGCAGGACCGGCGAGCCAGGTCAAGAGAGAAGCGAGGGCAGGAAGGAGAGGGGGGCGGAAGGAGAGACAAGCCGTCGCGGAGGAAGGCAGGCTGCGGGTTTCCGGGGCTGCAGGTCCAGGTGGAGTAGGAACTGCTGCTGTCCAGGGAAGCTAGAAGGAAAGGAAAGAAAGATAAGAACAAAAAGGGGGAGGGGGTGGAGGGAGGAGAAAAGAGAGAAGGGGAGACCAACGGTGGAGAGAGAGGAGACTGCAGGAAGGAAAAGAGAGGGAAGGGGGCGGGCGATAGAGGAAGAGGAGTTGGAAGGAGAAAGAAGAGGGAGGAGAAGAGAGAAGAAAGCGAAAGGGGGTTAGAGGTGTATGAAGGAGGGGAGAGGGAACAGAGGGAGAAACACGGAGGAGAAGGGACCTCAGAAGGAGAGAGAGAACCAAGAGTGGAAATGTGGAAGGGAGACAGCTTAGGGGGGAACCAAGGAGCAGCCATGGAGGGGACTGATGGAGAGCTGGGAGGACAGGGGAACCTGGACCTAGGGGATGCCCCAGGCCTCTTGGCCAGGGCCTCCCTGCCCATCATGCCCCCATGGCCACTGCCCCTGGCCTCCTCCGCCCTTACCCTGCTCCTTGGAGCCATCACTTCTCTTTTCCTCTGGTACTGCTACCGCCTGGGCTCCCAAGACATGCAGGCCCTGGGAGCTGGGAGCCGGGCTGGGGGTGTTAGTGGTGGGCCTGGGAGGTGCTCTGAGGCTGGCAGGCCAAGCCCACGGAGCACTGGAGACCCTGGGGAAGGACCCAGGACAGAAGGCCTAGTGAGCCGTCGGCTTCGAGCCTATGCCAGGCGCTACTCCTGGGCTGGGATGGGCAGGGTGAGGCGGGCAGCTCAGGGTGGACCAGGCCCTGGGGGAGGGTCAGGGGTCCTGGGCATTCAGCGTCCAGGCCTGCTTTTCCTGCCAGACCTGCCCTCGGCCCCTTTTGTGCCACGGGATGCCCAGCGGCACGATGTGGAACTCCTGGAGAGCAGCTTCCCTGCGATTTTGCGGGACTTTGGGGCTGTAAGCTGGGACTTTTCAGGGACTACCCCTCTGCCTCGGGGCTGGTCCCCACCCCTGGCCCCTGGGTGCTACCAGCTGTTGCTGTACCAATCAGGGAGATGCCAACCCGGCAACTGCCGCCGGTGCCCCGGGGCCTATAGGGCACTGAGGGGGCTTCGGAGCTTTATGAGCGCCAACACCTTTGGCAATGCCGGCTTTTCTGTCCTCCTGCCTGGGGCCCGGCTTGAGAGCCGCTGTGGGCCCACCAATGCCCGGGTCAGATGCCATCTGGGTAAGTAGATGCTGCCTACATACAACCTCCTTGCCTTCAGGACTCCCCCTCCAGGCCCTCTGCTCTGCCACCAAAGCTCTGTACACTGTGGTTCTGAGCCTGCGTCTCTTCTCAGCAATCTTCCATGATTCCCTATTGTCCATAGCGGCATTTCCTGAGCTTTGGTTATCTGCAAACCATCTTCATAAGCTTTGCCATGGCCATTTGCCACCTGTACTATGTTTTTTCACATCCATTCCACCCCCCCCGTTCCATTTATTTAAAAGAAATCTTTGTAGAACTGTAAGTGATAATCAGTATTGCTTGTCCTAAATAGAAAGTACTCATAAAAACAATTTTAAACTGAAAAAAGGAAAACTTAGAAAATTCTAACGAAATACTCATCTCTCTAAGCTAGCTATACTCGAAGTTTAAAAAGGAGCAATGTTAGTGATGTGTTAAAGTTGTGGGAGCGCCAAACTGTGATTTTCTTTCTGATGCCTTAAAGACTGGAAAAAAGGAAAAGGAGACAACTTTCTGATTGTTAATTAACACCATGACCTTGTTTCGGCTAAAACCATCTTCTGTGCTGCTAGTTGGATGTGTCCTACACTTTGGGGCACACTGGCCTTCAGGATCAAGTCCAGATCTGTTCTCTCCTCATCTCCCATGTTTGTCCTCCCCCATCCCTGGCTGGGCTCTGATCATGAAGGCCTCTGGCTGATGCTGGCAGGTACACGCGCACGTGCTGTACTCTCAGCCTAGAATGCCCTTCCCCCATCATCTCCTGGAAAACTCCTGCTCAGCCTTCAGGACTCAGACTTTTGAGTGCCACACCTCCTCTGGGATGCTTTCCTATCCCCACCGGTTGAGCTGGCTGCTCAGTTTTTTCACAGCACCTGACGCTGTCCTGCCCACTTGGGGGCAGGATGGAGTCAGTCATCTCTCAGAGCTCCTGGGGAGACAGGGCCTAGCAAGTTGTAGGCTTGGGAAGCACAGGAGGAGATGCCACTTCCTCCAAGAAGTCTTCCCTTTTCCCTCAACAGAACACATTGCACTTTCCTCTGCATTTCCCATCTCCTGGCATTTCTTTCTTCCAGTGTTGTAATTATACTCAGGTCACCTTCCAGAGAGCAAGGAAGGGTTTCACCACAGAACCTGGCATTCAAGAGACCCTCAGATCTGCTTATTGACTAAACAGGGTGAGCGCCGTGGATAGAAGCAGGGGTGTTGGATGCCCAGGTCTCTTTCCACAGGCCTGAAGATCCCCCCTGGCTGTGAGCTGGTGGTTGGTGGCGAGCCCCAGTGCTGGGCTGAGGGGCACTGTCTACTGGTGGATGACTCTTTCCTGCACACAGTGGCACATAATGGTAAGTGGTGCATCCCTGCTAGCAGGGATGAGGTACTAAAGAGTGAAGGGGGAGTAGACTAGAGGGCCGCAAGATCAGGCCCAGTTGGCTTCCTGTCCTGGCACTGTTTTCCAGCTGCATGACCTTGAACAAGTCGCATAACCTCTTCAGTCACCTGTGAAATGGGGCAACCGCCTTCTTTACCAGGTGATTGCAAGGCTGAAATAAGTCAATGCAGGTACACAGCAAAGTTGTTAACAGCACAGGACCCTGGGCCTGGACTACCTGGGTTCCTGTCCCAGCTCTGGCACTTATTAGCTATGTGACCTTGGGCAAGTTACTTAATCTCTCTATGCCTCAGTTGCTTTGCATAAAATGGGCATAATTATGGTGCTATCTCATACTTTGGGGCCCTGGTGGTACAGTGGTTAAGAGCCTGGCCTCTAACCAAAAGGTTGGCAGTTTGAATCCACCAGCCGTTCCTTGGAAACCCTATGGGGCAGTTCTACTCTGTCCTGTACGATTGCTATGAGTCAGAATCAATGTGACAGCAAAGGTTTTTTTTGTACCTCATAGTTTGTTCTGATGATTAAGAGCTAATGCACATAAAGGGTTAGGGCAGTGCCTGGCACATGTTTACTAAGTGTTTGCTTTTATGAATATTCGGTGAGCACTCCTGACACATAAGCACTTACGTCAGCTGTTCTCCTGTCTCCATTCCCATGTGCCCTAGGATCCCCTGAAGATGGGCCTCGAGTGGTCTTCATTGTGGACCTCTGGCACCCCAACGTGGCCGGGGCTGAGCGCCAGGCCCTCGACTTTGTATTTGCACCAAACCTTTGAAGGGAGGTGTTTCCTTCAGACACCTGGGCTGGAGAGAGACTGCACTCAGGGACGGCTTGAGTGGTAGCCACTGCGGGGGTGGGGTGGACCCTGAGGGTGGGGATGGGAACTGGCCAGCAAGCACGAAATACAGATTTTGAATCCTCTTCTAGCTCCTAACTCCTTCCTTCCCTGCGACCAGGCCCAGGGAGAGGCCTGGGATAGGGGCTCATGTCTTCACCCATCCAAATAGTCAGGTGGCTCTTTAACACGGCCATCTTCCTGTCCCTCTCCCTGAGAGCCAGCACCAGACCCTCACCTCAACTTTATTCCAATAATTTAATAGAAAATTAAAATAATAAATAATATGAAACAGATTGAGAAGATAGCTGAGCTGGTAGAGGCCCAGGCCAGCCTAGTACAAAGCTAAAGAGGTGGGGAGAACTGGTAGGGGAAGGAGCGGGGAGGCACACTACCCTGCACAATGGTGGGAAGGCGGCTCAGAGAATGTGGTGGGTGGTATTAAGGGCTGGGTTGACACTCTGGCATGTACAGTGTACTAAAAAAAGAGAATGGGAATTACAAATCATTCTAAACTGGCTACTGAGGGAAAGATAGCAGGACAAGAAGGGGGGTGAGGGGGCAAATGTAGGCCTTCTGAAGGGCTCTGCCTGAGGGGAGGGTCTGGAATGTACCGTGTTGTTAGCAGTGAGATGGGAACGAACGGAAAGGACCTAAGTAAACTGCACCATGCAATGAAGGGACAAAAGGGAGACCCACGACTTGGCCAGCAGAGCCGGGGCAAAGGTCTGGGAACAAGAGGGAAGGAGAAAGAGGGACTGCAGAGGGAAGGCAGGGAGAGGGGTTAGAGGTCAGTCCTTGAAGACAATTTGTTGGCCATGAGGACGCTCGTCATGGGTGATGTGGCGCCGGACATGGATCCTGCGGACACGGTGCTCTCGGTTGTCCTCATCTTCCCCTCGGCCTGCCCCGCCACCTCCAGCTGCACCCCCTACGGCCTCCAGGAGGGCTGGGTCTGGGTCCCGGGGAGTCTCGTAGATCAGGATGTTCAGGGTCTCCTCAAAGATCCGGGCCTCTGGGAATTCCACCTGTAAAGGCCAGCAACCCCCAGCTCCTACCCTCTGGTCCAGTCACACAGAGCCATTGCCCCCACCCAGCCGCTCGCACACAATGGCACACCTCCTAGCCTTTGCAGTCACAGGTCCTGTGGCCTAGACTGTCCTCTCTGCAACTTCTTTACTCTGCAAAGTCATACTTTCACTTCAAGGCCCAGCTCTGAAGTCAGGCCGAGTTATTTGCTTCTCGGTATAATCTTTCACTTGACAAATATTTACTGAGTGACTACACTGTGCCAGGCACTGTTCTAGGCATTGGAAATACAGCAGTGAACAAAACGGACAAAACTCCTGCCCTCAGGAAGTTTATATTCTAGGAGGAGGACTCAGAAACACACTTAATAAAATACATAGCAAGTCAGATGATGATACATGTTATGGAGAAAAATATGGCAGGGAAAGGGGATGAGGATGGCCAGGGCTGAGAAGTGTTGCAACTTTAAAGAGGGAGTTCAGGGAACGCCTCCCTCACGACATTTGACCAAAGACCAAAGGAGGCAAAGGACGGAGCCAGGAGGATAGCTAGAGAAGAGTGTTTGGGAAGAGGCAACAGTACAAAAGCTCTGTGGCAGGAATGTGCTTTGTGCGTTATTTGAAGATCAGCAAGGAGGCCAATAGGGGGAGAGTAGAAATGGATGAAATCAAAGCTGTGATTGGGGGTTTCCTACTGTGAGGCCTTGGAAGGGTGTTAAGGAACACAGCTCGTAACCAGCTGTATTCTAATTATTGGCTTATCTTCCTGTCTCCACAATTATAGAGGAAGCTTCTTGGAAGCTGGGTTGTTCACTTATTCATGCATGCATGCATTCAATAAATGCCTCCTAGCTCCCACTGTGTGACAGGAGCTGGGCTAGTTCTAGGGAGATAAGAAAAAGACACAGCCCTGCCAACAAGGAGCTAACCGCCCTCCGACATTACCAACTTTCTTTGGGGTTGTTAGAAGTTCATGAGCAAAGGTGTCCCAAAGAAAGTGATGCTTGGCTTGGGTTTTAAAGATTAAATACAACTTCATTAGGCAGATGGGGACAAAGACAAAGAATTTCAAGAGGAAGGAATAGAGTGTGCAAAGGCAGAGAGGTGTGAATAGCACAGGGTCGTAGACACTTGGAAGAACTTTGGTGCATGTGAGGCACTTCCCTCACATCAAGGTCAGAAGGGACCAGACTGGTGAGATCTGAGGGAACCAGATGACACAGGGCTTGCACTTGACTCAGTACTCTGTTCACCTTTGTTGACCTGGCCCAGTGCAGTGCTGTGCGCAGAGTAGGTGCTCAGGAAGTATTTGCCGATGAATGCCGTGTTAATTACTGAGGACCACAAACCCAGACAGTGTTCTAAGAGCCCATCTGGTCCTGAGGTTTCAAGAACTTATTTGGGGTCATGGACCTTTCTGAGATTCTAATGACAACTATAGACCCACCATACAGAAAAATGCACACACTCCCAAACCTGCATACTATTTCAGAGGACTGCAGATAGACTTGAAACCCATCCAACGGCCCTACATTAAGAACTCTATTCCGACATCCTCATTTCACAGAGAACGGAAAGCCACAGAGGTTAAGGTGACTTCCCCAAGGAAACACAGCCAGGACCCCAGAGCGCCGGCTCCCAGCTCCCTTTGATGGACTTTCTCCGGCCTGATCTGCTAAGCTGCTTTTGTCCAGGGTCCTGGTCTGGCCCACACCCCCACACCAACCAGTCCCTGAATCCCTTCTGACCTTGGTCTGCTTCTTCTCCGTGGCATAGACAATGGAGGTGCAGCACACCTCGGCGATTTTGCGGCCCTGCCCGTAGAAAGACCAGCAGCAGATTTCATCCCCCAGCACATCCTTGAGAAAGAGCAGCCGCCCGTGGAAGCGCAGGGCTAGTTTGTCAAACAGCTCGATGTTCTTGAGTAGGTTGTCATCTGAAGTGCTGAGGACCAGGGGGCCGGGAACCTCAGCGCGACTGGCTCCCCTCCTTCCATTTCCCCCCTCCCCCGGGATAGGGACCCAGACTCCCTGCACTCTGGTCCTGCCCAGGGGTTTGGTGTCTGGTAGGGAGCTCCCTCCACCCCTAGAGCCGCAATAAGTGGGCCTCAGAAGGGAAGCGGCATTTGCTGAGTAAATCACAGCACAGCAAAGTGGCCCCACAGGCAGGCTCTCCAGCAGGCTGCCTAACCTGCCATCCTGGCGGTACCACTTTTTAACTGAGTGAACATAGACAAGTTATTTCACCTCTCAACCTCCTCATACGTAAAATGGAGATCACAGCAGAACCCACCTAAAACAATTGTGAGGATTATTTGTAATACAGGTAGTCCCCAACTAACAACATATTTGAGGACAGCTGCCCTTTTTTTGGGGCTTATATAACGTGCATGTAACGGGAGAAGCAGGAAGCGCCGATGTTGAAGCTGTAAGTTTATATGTAATGTTTCCAAGCCCCAAAGACAAAGATCGAATTTATAAAGATACTGATAATAAAAAGCAGTAATAAAAAAAAAAAAAAATGTACCCGACTTACAGGAAATCTTGGGAACCAAACCCCGTTGTAAGTTGGGGACTACCTATACCTAGAAGGTGCTTACTCAATGCCTGTTGTAAAATAAACACTTATTAAATGCTGGCCATTATCATTTAATCCTCACCTGGACCCCAGGTTACCAATGATAAAACAGAAGCTCAGGAGGGAAAATAGCCCCCCCAGTAGGAAAGTGGAAAAGCTGGGAGGGATCTGCACTCAGGCAGGCATTCTTTTTGTCTCTTTGGGTGGCGGGGCCCTCCCCTTGGGCCAAGAGCAGGGCTGTGCTGGATCCCAGGATTCCACCCGGCACACCTCCCAGGGGGCGGTCACCTGGTGTAGGAGTACTTGTTGTTACTGCGGTTGTGCAGGAGCTTCACCACGGGCTGTTGTGGGAAAGAGGATGGAGAAGGATGGGGGTCAGGCTGCAGAAAGAGGCCCCCAGCCTCCACCCTACAGGGCTCAGGGGCCTCACCTTGGAGGTGCTGGCCAGGAGCTGCTGCTCCTCCCGGGGAGATGTCACCGTGGGGATGAGGCACAGCGGGGACAGGTTCTCCCTTTTTTGCTGGGGAAGAAGCGGAAGGTGGTTAACAGCACAACCAAAGGCCACTCCCCTACTTAAAAGCCTTCAAAAGCTGCCTATTGTCTTTGGGGAAAAAATCCAGACTCCTCAGAGGGCCACATGCCCTGCAGGATCCAATCTCTGTTGATCTCTCTGATCTCATCTCCTACCAATCCACCCTTGCTTGCCGGACTTCAGACCCACTGGTTGTCTCTGTCTTCACAATCCAGCTGTGCCCACCCTGGCCCTTTGCTGCTCTCCCTCCCTGGAAAGCTCTTCACTCATCTCTTCGCATGGCTGGCTCCTTCTGAGCCAGATCTGAGTTCAAATGGTGCCTCTCCAGAGGGTGCCAGTCCTCCTCCCTAAGCTCCCAGGCTAAAGCAGTCTCCTCTACCTCCTCCTTCTCATATTATCAGTTCGTTTTCTTCATAGCACTTTTCTCAATTTTGTGTATCTTCTTATGGTCTGTTTCTTCTCACCTAGGGAGTTTAAGTGTCTAGCCCACAATGGATGCTCAATAAATATCTGTTGAATGAATGAAGCTGGTTGGCATAAGGTTGCAGGCAGAATCAGGACCAGACACATAGGGTTCTTTTTCTTCTCTCTTCTAGAATCTTCATGTCAGAACCCTTTCCACCTCTTCCAACTCAAAATCTACATGTGCAATCCTAACACAAATTGCAGAAGATCTTTTTTTTTTTTTTGAGAATCTCATAAAGCTTATTCTTTATGGAAAAATAAAAGTCTACAATTACTTAGGTCAATTTTTAAAAGGAAGAGCAAAGAGGAGAGTCTGACCCTACCAGATATTAAGATACACTAAAAGTCTTCATAAAAAGTGTAGTTCTAGTGCAGAAACCAACCAACCAATGGAACAGAACAGAGATCATAAACAGACTGGTGTATATATAAGAATTGGATATTTATAAAGGGTATACCATAAATCAGTGGGATTATTGTATGTTAGCTATTCATTGCTGCGTAACAAATTACTCCAAAATTTAGCAGCTTAAATCAACAATAAATATTATTATCTCACAGTTTCTGTGGGTGAGGAATTCAGGAGTGGCTTAGCTGGGTGGTTTTGGCATGGGGTCTCTCATTAAGGTATAGTCAAGATGTTAGTCAGGGCTGCCGTCATTCGAAGGCTTGACTGGGTCTGAAGGATCTGTCTCTGAGAAAGCTCACTTGTGCTAGCTGTTGGCAGGAAGCGCCTGATCCCTGCCATTTGAACCTCTCCACAGGGTTGCTTAAGTGTCCTCATGACATGGCAGCTGGCTTCCCCAGAGCAAATGATCCGAGAGAGAGCAAGGTGGAGACCACAATGCCTTTTATGACCTAGTTTCAGAAATCACACATCACTTCCTCAATATCCTACTGGCTACAGAAGTCAACCCTGTTCAGCATGGGAGGAGACCATACAAGGGAATGAATACTAGGAGGCAAGAAACATTGGGGGCTGCCTTAAGAGGCTGGCCCCACAGTGCACCCTCTGGCTCCCACTGATTCACATTCCTGCCATATGCAAAATACACTCACCCCCTCCCAAGGTCCCCAAAAGTTTCATTCCATTACAGCATCAGCTTGAAGTACAGTTTCTTGTTATCTAAATCAGGTCCAGGTGGGAATGGGGCTCCTTAACTACAGCTCCTTAAGCACATTTCCTCTCAATCTGAAGATCAATAAACTAAAGAGACAAGTTATCTGCCTCCACACATCCAATATACAATGGTGGGATAGGCATAGGATAACCACTATGGACACTCTTGTTCAAAAGAGGGGGAAAAGAGGAGACACATAACAGTCACTGTCCAAAGCAATTCTGAAATCCAGTTGGGTAAATGTTGTAAGTTCCTTGATTCCTACTCCTGTCCAGAAATGATTCTTCATGGCTCTTGGCTCTGCCCTGAGTCATCCTTCCTTTTCCATGAAAAGTAGTCTGTCTGCAGCTCCGTGGTTTCCTCAGCCCGCTTCCTGCCTGTAGAAATTGGGAGTCCAAAGTTGCCTTTTCCACTTGCACTGTCACTTACCCTTTCAGTCCAAGCTGGCAGTGTTTCTGCCACTACAATTCTCTTAAAAATTTAATGGATGTCTCGTGAATCTTACTGAGGTTCCCTTCCTTAGACAAAAGCCACACCTACAAATCTCTGTGAGATAACCCCTTGTCTTTCTTGGGCTTGTGTTAAGACTGCTGAAGAACAACACCTTTAACCTTAGAAGCCCTATTATTTGACTGAATGGTTCTCTGAGGCATTCCCCCACTCCCCCATCCCCAGGTCCTAACAAAGGATTTTTACAACTACATCCTCAGGGTCATCTTCAGACCCTGTTTTCCTGAGAATGCCCAGTTAACCTTTGTTTGGAAGCCATTTGTTAATTTTAACATCTTTTATTCTCTGGAAAGGCTAAAAATTTTCAAACCCAACAATTCCCAGCTCCTTTTTGTTCAACTGTTTTTCCTTTAGCTTACCCTCTCCTTTCTCATTTTATTATATGCAACAAAAAAGCAAGTGGTACCTTCAACACTCTGCTTGGAAATCTCCTTAGCTAGATCATCCAGTTTATTAGGTAAATTTTCTACTTTCTACATTACCACAGGTGAGAGTGTTGCTAACTTTTTGCCACTACATAACAAGGATTCTCTTTCCACCAGTTTCCAATAACACCGTTACTGGAAATAACACCTGCAGCCTCCTCAAAGACCATCTGATTTCCATTAAAGGACCCTTCAAAGCTCTTCAGGCTCTCACTAACACTTTCTTCAGCTTCTGCCCACTTGCCAGTTCTAAAGTCACTCCCACATTTTAGGTTTTCGTTATGGTAGAATCCTACTTCAGATACCAAAAATCTGTTGTTAGTTATCTACTGCTGTGTAACAAATTACTCCAAACTTAGCAGCTTAAAACAGCAACAAACATTTATTATCTCACACAGTTTCTGTGGGTCAGGAATTAGGGGTTGGCTTAGTTGGGTGGTCTTGGCTCAGGGTCTCTCATAAGGTTGCAGTCAAGATGTCAGCCAGGGTTGCCGTCATCAGAAGACTTGACTGGGCCTGGAGGATCCACTTCTGAGATGGTCTGCTCTTATGACTGGCAAGTTTGTGCTGGCTGTTGGCAGGAGTCCTCAGTTCCTCACTAAGTGAACCTCTCCCTAGGGCTGCTTAAGGGTCCTCAGATCCCCAAGAGTGAATGATCCGAGAAAGCAAGACAGAAGCTGCAATATCTTTTATGACCTAGCTTCAGAAGTCACACATCATCATTTCCACAATATCCTACTGGTTACACAGGTCAGCCCTACTCTGTGTGTGTGCGTGCGTGCGTGCGTGTGTGTGTGCGTGCATGCGTGCGTGCGCGGGGTGGGGGGGAGCGTTAAACAAGGGCCTAAATACAGGAGGCAAGAATCACTGATGGCCACCTTAGACACTGACTACCACAGATTATTTAGTAGACGGCACCGGGAAAGCTAACTCACTCTCTACGGGGGACAAATAAAGTTAAATCCCTTTGCAATTCACATTTACAAAGTGAATTCCATGTAGATTAAAAGACCTACACGTGAAAGTAAAACTATAAAGCTAACAGAAAATGCAGAATAGAAAAACAAAACTTCCTAAGTCAGACCCCAAAAGGATACACCATTAGGCAAAAAATATTGAGGGGTTTGACTACTTTAAAATCAAGAACTTTTCCAGCTGATGACAGAAACTGTGATTTTACAAATACTCTCACATAATAACGTGAAAGAAATGATAGGACTGTAACAATTATTCTACAACCCTAGTGAAATTATTGATTTAGGCAAGGATAATCAATTGATGTGTGATTGATAGGTAATGGATATTCATATGGTGCCCAAATAAAACATGCAGATTATAACTGGCAACAAGGAAACGTAACTACAAAGGAGGATCAAACCACCATCACCTGAACCCGGCAACCAAATCTGAGCAACACTAATGATGGCTCATATTAGCAACATGAGAGGTCTCTCAATGTAACCACAATATGAAGTATCACCTAAAATGTATTCTAGTCAAAATGTTTAATATCAAACCTTTAAATCTAACTTCTACTTCTAGACATTCAGGGTAGGGCATAGTAACAAGCAAAAGGATACTGTGAGGAAACAAACTCAGAAGGTGGGTCATCATGCAGGAAAACTAGAGGTCTCTTTAATACGTCAGCATCGTAAGAAAAAGGGACTGTTTTAGATTGTAAGAGACCTAAGGAACATAACAACCAGACCCAATGCGAGGACCTAGATTGGGACCTGGTTTAGATAAACCAGCTATAAAAGACATTTATGGAACAACTGGAGAAATGTGAATATGGCCTGGATGTTAAATAAAACTTTATTGACATGGAAAGACGGCAATCATTAACAGCGACAACAAAAATGGGCAGATTACAAAACAGCACATACAACGTTACCGTATTTTGGCAAAAATACACATACACACACAGAAAAGGACTTGGAAGATATACGGTGCTTTCATTTTATTTTTTATTGTCTGTGTTTTCTAAATTTCTACAATGCATATAATTCTCCTTTAAAAATAATGGTTATTTGTAATTGTTTAAAAATCAAGGATTTCTATTCAACAACAAATGTGATAGACAGGTGATATTCTAAGAGAAAATATTTGCAACATCTGACTAGAAATTATTATCTAGAACAGCCTTTCTCAGCTGGGGTTCCTCATCTGAATCTTAAAACCCAGAAAACAATTTGTGTAACTATTTTCTCAACTCTCCCAAGGATAGTAGGTAAATAGTACTATTCTAGGTACACAGGAGAAAAGTTAATTATGTACAATGAACACCTTAGGGTAGTAGGCCTGAATTCTCTCTAGGAAACTGGGTTGCAAAAGACTGAGCTAAAATATGCACGAAACTCCCACAAAACAAAAAGAAAAAGGCAGGAAACTCAGTGGAAAATTTGGTAAAGAATATGAACAGGCAGTTCATAGAGGGGAAACTGAAAAAAAGCTGGTGAGTATATAAAAAGATGCTTGACCTCATTAGTTATCAGAGGCATGCAAATTAAAATGAGATCACTCTACACCCATCAGATCGGCAAAATCAGAAAGCTGGGTGATGCCATGTGTTGTTGAGGATACGCAGAAATGGGATCCCTTGTGCACTGGTGACAATGAGTAAACTGCTATCATCATTCTGGAGAGTAAACAGCTAACACTTAACGACATTCAGTATCCATGTGCCCTGCTGCACAGGAATTCCCCTCCCAGCTACAAACGTGAGAAACCCTGGCACAGCACCACAAGGGACATGTTCAAGGATGCTCAGTGTGGCACTGTGGGGACAGTAAGTGAGGGGAGACAGGAAGTGGGGAGAGACAGAAGTGGGAGGCAATCTAGGTCTCCATCCTCAGGGGAGTGTATAAATAAAATGTGGTGAATGTACACCATAGACTCCTGTACAGCAGTCAGAAGTGAAGAACTAGGTGTACAAACAGCAGCATGAACGGATCTCAAAAAGAGTGCTGAGTGAAAAAAAAACTAAGAAACAGAATATGATCCATCGCTCAGTGCCATTTAGGAAAATTAAAAAGGTATACAAACACAAAGCAGTGCTTTAGCTTTTCAAGGGTACAGACATAATCCAAGAGTATGTATCAAAACATTAAAACTGGAATGGGTACTATGGAGAGGAGTGGAAATGAATAAAAAATATAAGAGAAAGGATTTGCATAGGCCAATGATTAAGTCCCATAAACTGAGGAGCATGACGAACTCAACTCACTGTACCTTCTTAAAAAAACAAACAAAAAAGAAAACCCCAAACAAGCAAACTCTAGACGTGCAGAGTAGGGATGGGAAGAGTCTCAAAGAAACCTGGAAAGGTGGTGGCTAGAGCATAGAAGAAAAAGCACTGTACCTGGGAGTTAGATAACCTGGAGATAAATCCGAGCTCTGCCATTTACTGGCTCTTTGACCCAGGTTCACTCTGGCTCAAACCCCTGCTGAGAATTTGCATTTCCACCCCAGATATACTGAATCAGAATCTACAGTTTAACAAGATCCCCCAGGTGATTCTTATGTATAATAAATTTTGAGACCCATTCCACTAGGGGTTCTTAGAACTGGTCCCTGACCAGCAGCATTAACATCACCTGGGAACTTGTCAGAAATGCAAATTCTCTGCAGGGGTTTGAACAGGAACAAACTGGTTGGTTCCAAGCTTTGACCGTGGATGCATCACCGAACCTCCTTCGTGTTTCTTTTTATGTCAGACATGGGGAGAAGATGTGTGTTCAAGCAAAGCAGTGGGTGTGCAATAATGTGAGCTAAATTTAAAACGAGAGAGCAGAAATGCACTTCCAACATCATCTAGTTCAGTGTTTTTCAAACTGCAAGCAGTGACTCATTAATGGGTCATGAAATCAGTTTAATGGGTCCCAATTAGCATTTTTAAAAAAAGGAAAAAAAAATACATCAGAGTATATTTCACTAAAGGTATCATTTTAAAACTCTTATTTCGGTTATGTGTATGCGAGCATAAAATATATTTTTTTTTTCCTCAGGTTGCAGTCAAAAAGCTTGAAAAACAGGATTTTTTTGAAAATCCTGTTTTTAAGAGCCAATAAGTATTGTTTGTGGAAGAAAGACGTGGCAATCTGCTCCCGTAAAGATTACAGCCTTGGAAACCCTCTGAGGCAGTTTTACTCTGTTCTATAGAGTCGCTACGAGTCAGAATCGACTCAACGGCCAACCAGTTTGGTTAAATACTGTTCAGGGCGATGAAAGACTTGGAAATAGATCGTGGTGATGGCTGCACAACCTGTTGAGTGTAATTAACGTCACTGACTTTTACACTTAAAATTGGTTAAAACGGTAAATTTTTGTTATAATTGACCACCAAAAAAAAAAAGAACCAGTAAGTATCCCCCAAGACAACAGAGTGTTGTTCACAGTTGCCACTTTTTAATATATAAAGCAAGGGCATTAAAAAGAAACTCATATTCATCTCTTACCACTGTATCATAAATGGCATGGTATCATAAATTGTATCAGAAAAGAAAAATGTTAACATTGTAAAGGTAGCATAAAAGGCTTTCTGTAAAACTCACTACAGTGTACTTTTTCTATCTTTTGGAACATGAGGACACAATGCCAGAGATGGGAAGTGACTTACCCAAGGTCACTCAGTCAGCCGTGGGAGAGCTAACCCTGAACCCATATGTCTAGGCTGTGCTTTTCAAACTCTGCTCCTCAGAGCCTTATGGGATGCACAGAAGTGCCTCAAGAGCCGGTGTTAGGTAGAAATGGAGCCTAACAGCCGGGCCTGAAACCTCCAACCTTGTTGTATCAGGAGCTGCTTTGCTACTGTGAGATTTCATTTTATTTAAGGAAAGGCTTTTACTACTTTAAAAAGAAGAAAGAGAGAGAGAGAAAAAGAAAACCAGAGTAGTGTGGGGCAAGCTGCTTCCCAGGAAAGGATAAGACCATGGAGGTCATTATATTCTATTTTAAATTTAGATTTCTTTTCCTACTGGTACTAGGGAGCTAGTTAGGATTTCTAAGCAAGGGAGGGAATAGATTGGGCTTGTGCCTAAGGATAATTACGCAGGTGGTAGTGTAACAGCTGGACTGACTGGGTAAAAACAGCAAGACGCAGAGAGAGCAGTCATTTAACCACTGCAATAGTTTTGGCATGAGGTGGTGAGGAGGGCCCTGCCTGAGGCAGCCGGGGGAGAGGGAACAGGGCCCTCAAATTCCCTGGGGTCACAGCCAGTAACAGCCAGGCTAGAAGGTAGCCTCTCCAGGCAGTACCCTACGTCTCTTTTTTTCCTGTCCTAATATTAAGCACTGGACTGCTAAACCAAAAGGTAAGTGGTTCGAACCCACCAGCCACTCCAGGGGAGAAAGATGTGGCAGTCTGCTCCATGAAGATTACAGCCTTGGAAACTCTATGGGGCAGTACTACTGTCCTATAGGGTTGCTATGAGTCAGGATCGACTCAACAGCAATGGGTTGTTTGGGTTTAATATCTAACTAAGGAGACTTCGGGGTGCAGGGGTTACAGCGCTCAGCTATGAGTTGGAACTGACTCAATGGCAGTGGGTAGCTCTCCCAGGGACATGGGCATAGGGGTGGCGTTCAGGAGGTAAGGAAGGGGCCCTCACCTGCAGGGCCAGCTGGCAGTCCTCAATCAGGCCCTGTACCAGGTAGTAGCGTGCTTCGCCTAGTAGCTCCCCTAGTTCTCTGGTACTCTCAGGTAGTGGCACGGACCCGTCCCGCAGGTAGTTGAGGATTGTACCAAAGTGGCGGCCGCTCCGGTCAATCAGCACCCAACCTGGTAGGGTGGGAGGAGGCAGGAGGAAGGATGACTTTGCTGGGGGGCCTTGGAGCTACTATGTTTTTTATGAAAATGGATTCCAAGGTTATAAGGAAGTCTGAATTCTGATCTGCCCCAAACTTTTGCCATATCCAAGAAAATCCTTTAAAACATTTTCAGTCCCATAGGCCCTTTTTAACATCGCCAGCCACAGACATCAACTACCTCCCAAGTCTATTCTGTGGTCAGAAGGTTCTCACCATGAGAAAACGGTTATAGAATTACCTTATCAATAAACCTCTAACCTGTCTTGTTAATTCTAACCACCCCATTTAAAATGTCTATCCCCACCCTCTAGGCCACTACCATCTGAACCTTTATTTATAGTCTTCACAGAGTGTATTACTATCTGCAATTACATATATATTTTTTGTTTACTAGCTTATTGTCCCTTTCCCACCCCACCCCTGCCAAAACATAAATTCCATGGGGTAACGGTCTTGTCAGACTCCTTTACCAACCCATCTCCAGCATCAACCGGCGCTTTACAAATACCTGTTAAATAAATGAATTATTCACCTTCAGTTATCTGAAAACTGTGCGCCACCTCCCAAACTTTTTATTTTCCTGCTCTCACAATCCTTGTCAACCTCTTCTGAATCCCCACCCCCCAAATTTTAATGTCCCACTTGGGCAGTGGGGCCCAAATCTGAATGAATGGTAAGGTAACTGCCAAGAACTGTCCACCCTCACTTTGTCCCTGGCAAACCCAAAGCGGCCTTCTTCTACAATCTGCATTTACAGGCAGATTCCTAAAGTGTATAGGAACCTGTGTTTCGAAAACATAGGGACAGACAAGATCTCCCAGTCCTCCAGGCTGGTGTTGGCGGTGCTGAGGCAGAGACGAACAAAAGGCTGCGGAGTTAGAAGAAACTGATGAAGGTGGCCTGGAGGGGGTGCTGCTGGCGGCAAGACTGGTTCCCAAGTCGTGAGAACCGAGCGGTGAAGGGTGGGAGAATTGGGGGCGGGGGTGGGGTGGGGTGGAATAAGGACTGAATCACTTACCACAGCGCCTGGAGGGTTAGGGGCTCCATAAATGTTGGTTACTGCTGGGGGTATAGCAAAAGGTGGGAGATTATGAATGAGACAGGGAAGATGAGATGGGATGCGGGGGCTGGAGAGAGATGAGAATGAGCTGCCTGGACGGCAGACAAGAGAAGGGGCGTAGGGAGACTGGGTGACGAAAAGAGCTGGGGGGAAGGAACAGGGGGAATGGAGCGTCGCACAAGGAAGAGCGGCGTGCATACCTCCGGCGTCTGTGAGCACCTCCACGCGGCCGCTAAACATGGCTTTAAGCATGGTGTCCTGTCCGGTGAGGGTGCGCAAAGTGGTGTAGTGCAGCGAGCCGCCCACGTTCAGCTTCACGTACTTGCTGTTCGGGGACAGCGGACTGAGACCGTAGGCGGCAGAGCCAGACTCGATACCCGAGGGCTTCGGGACTTCCAGGGACGGGTCCGCGGCCGCCGCCGGGCCCGAGGCCTCGGCCGACATGCCAGGTAGCGGCGGCAGGCGGCGATCCGAGGCTCTCTCTGCGCCCTGCGGCCCGCTCCCAAAGACCCCGTAATGCCGGCCCCTGAGCCACAGCGGTCGGTCCCCACGCTCACACGCTGCCGCTACTCGGCGACACTGGCCCTTCGCCTCATAGTGTCCGCAGGGCCCGGAAACGGGAGCCTAGCAGCTGCGCAGGCGCGTCAAGGCCCCGCCCCTGCCCTCGGGGGGGAGCCGAGTGAGGAGCATGCGTAGTGGTTTTGGAGGGCAGCGTGCCGGCGACGAGTGCGAGTGCGAGTGCGAGTGCGGGTGGCGGTGTTTGCTGGTCAGACTGTGGGCACCCTGGCGAGTCCGGGAGACGAGAGAGAGGAGGCGCCCGGGACGATGCTCTTGCGTGACGTGGAATGTTACGTTCCCGCCCACGTTTGTGCCTCTGCTCTCAGACAGCTTTCCGGGCTTGAAGGGAAAACTGATGCCCAGAAAGGGGAAGGGGATAGGGCAAGATTTCCTGCCTCCCAGCCTCACGCACTTGGCAGGCTGCAATGAGAACTGCGGAACAAAGCACCAACGGCGGCTCTTAAAGGAGGTCAAAGGAGGGTGATCTCCTAGAGGAGGTGGCAGTGGTGCTACGGCATGAAGCACGGACGGATTACCCAATAAACAAGCTACGCTCGGGCTTACTTGTGCTGACTAATCTGTAGTGCATGATTTCGCCTGGTGAAATCGTGCACTACACGTTAGTAGATAAACCCAAGTAACCCTGGGATTCCCTTGCTCACGGATTAATCCGCCCCTGGCCTGAAGGGTGTGAGTAGGTAGGACCCTTAGGGAAGGCCTCTGTGAGGAGGTGATACTGTGCTGGGACTGAGAAATGGAGATATGAGGGAAGAGAGAGGGACCGGCAAATAAAAAGGTACTCAAGCAGGCACCATCTTGGCGTACAGTATTTAAGGAGCAGAAAGAATGGCAGGGTGGCTGAAGAAGCTAAGCAAGGATCTTAGAATCCCAGATAATGTCGTGAGACCTAGTGGCTGTAAAAGATTACTCAATCACAAAAGAAAGAAGAAATCAGGAACAAGTGGTTGACAAAGTGTGGTGAGACGTATTTCTTTCAGACTTAATCAGCACCCAGTTTAGAGGATAACAATTACCTGAATATCTAGCAGGGGGATTTACTGGAGGGTAAACTAAAGAGAGAGTTCTAGTTTCAACCCTGCCATTGGTTAGTTCCTTTTCTGCTTAGTAAGGTGATGCAAATTTAAATGCCTGTACCGGACAGGCAGGAGTGTAAATGAGTGAAGTTAGCCAGTTATAAAACCAAAACAAAAAACCAAACCTGTTGCCTTCGAGGTGATTCGGACTCACAGGGACCCTATAGGACAGAGCAGAACTGCCCCATAGGGTTTCCAAGGAGTGGCTGGTGGATTCGAACTGCTGATCTTTTGGTTAGCAGCTGAACTCTTAACCACTATGCCATAAGATACTAAGAAATAGTGGGGCTGTGGTGACTTGGAGAGCTCATGTTGTTCCAAACCAAACCCATTGCTGTCAAGTCGATTCTGACTTACAGCGACCCCACAGGACAAAGTAGAGCTGCCCCATACGGTTTCCAAGGAGTGGCTGGTGGATTCGAACTGCTGACCTTTTGGTTAACAGCCAAATGCTTAACCACTGTGTCACCAGGGCTCTCATTCTACCAAAAAAAAAAAAAAAGCTATTACCCATACAGTTTCCAGGAGCTGCTGGTGGATTTGAACCACTGACCTTTTGGTTAGTAGCTAAGCTCTTAACCACTGCACCACCAGGGCCCTCTTGTACTAAAAGGGGTTGCAAATTCAGGTTTTTCAAGTGTAGCTGATGAGAAAGAAAAAAAGCAGTTCCTGACAGCTGGTAGCTGGTTTGCACTCTCCAGAAACCTTCGTGTGGCTAGGAGCTGGCCTCGCACTCACAGCCAGGCTGTGGTGGTGTTCTGTTGAGCATAAACAATTCACAGAACATCAACATCAGACAAAGCCACTCTCTGATGGACGGATCCAGAAAAAGACCATTCTGCAATCTTGTCTAAACACAAAAACGAGAACATTGTTCAAACCATGAGAATGACCAACAACTTCTTCCACCTGCAGTATGAATTATTGCTGCTGCTTTTGTTATTATTGTTTTAAAATAGAACATAAAATTTACTGTTGTAATCATTTTTAAGTGTACAATTCAGTGGCATTACGTACATTTACAAAGTTGTGTAACCATTGCTATTATCTATTTCCAGAACTTTTTCATCACCCTGAGCAGAAACTGTACCCCTTAAGCAGTAACTCCTCATTATCCTCTCCCCTCAACGTCTGGTAACTTCTAATCTACTTTCTGCTTTTATGAATCTGCCTAGATATTTTATATAAGTGGGATCAAACAATATTGTCTTTTTGTATCACTTAGCATAATGTTTTCAAGGTTTATGTCGTAGCATGTATCAGTACTTCATTCCTTTTTATGGCTGAGTAATATTCCCTTGTATGTACATACCACATTTTATTTATCCATTTATCTGTCAGTGGGCACTTGGGTTGCTTCCACCTTTTGGCTATTGTGACTGATGCTGCAGTGTGGTACTTCTGTGTTTAACCTTTTGAGAAACTGCCTGTCATGGATTGAATTGTGTCCCCCAAAACTATGTCAACTTGGCTGGGTCATGATTCCCAGTATTGTATAATTGTGTACCATTTTGTAATCTGATGTGATTTCCTTATGTGTTGTAAATTCAATCACTATGATCTAATAAGATGGATTAGTGGCAGTTGTACTGATGAGGTTTACAAGATTGGATAGTGTCTTAAGCCAATCTCTTTTGTGATATAAAAGAAGTGAGTAGAGACACATGGGAACCTCATACCACCAAGAAAGCAGTGCCAGGAGCAGAGTGCATCCTTTGGACCTGAGGTTCCTGTGCAGAGAAGCTCCCAGACCAGGGGAAGACTGATGATGCATCACAAGGAGCTTCCTCCAGAGCTGACAGAGAAAGCCTTCCCCTGGAGCTGACGCCCTGCATTTGGATTTGTAGCCTACTAGACTGTGAGAGAATAAACTTCTCTTTGTTAAAGCCATCCACTTGTGGTATTTCTGTTATAGCAGCACTAGATACCTAAGATGCTGCCAAACTATTTTCCACAGTGGCTGTACTATTCCCACCAGCAATACACAAGGATTCTAATTTCTCCACATTCTCTCCAACACTTGTTATTTTCTGTTGTTGTTGTTTTCCTTTATAATAACCATCCTAGTGCGTATGAGGAATCTCTGGATGATGCAAACAACACGCTCGCCTGCTAACCAAAAGATTGGAGGTTTGAGTCCACCCAGAGGCACCTCAGAAGAAAGGCCTGGAGATCTACTTTGGAAAAATCAGTCATTGGAAACACTAGAGAGCACAGTTCTACTATGACACACGTGGGGTTGCCAGGAGTTGAATCTATTTGATGGCAACTAGTAACTGCTAAGTTGGTGTGAAGTGGTTATCTCATTGTAGTTTTGATTTGCATTTCCTTAAGGATTAATGAAGGAGCCCTGGTGGCACAGTGGTTAAGTACTCAGCTGTTGCCCAAAAGGTCAGCAGTTGGAACCTACCAGCAGCTCTGGGGGAGTCTACTTCCATAAAGATTGCAGCCTTGGAAACCCTATGGGGCAGTTCTACTCTGTCCTATAGGGTCACTATGAGTCAGAATTGACTCGACGGCATCGAGTTTGGAAGCACTAATGATGTTGAACACCTTTCTGTGTGCTTATTGCCCATTTGTATATCTTTGCAAAAATGTCTATTCAAATTCTTTGCCCATTTTTAAATTGGATTCTTTGGTTTTTTTTGTTGTTGTTGAGTTGTAGGAATTCTTTACATATTCTGGATATTAAACCTTTGTCAGATATATGATATCCAAATATTTTTTTCCCAATCTGTGGATCTTCTTTTTACTCTCTTTATAGTGTCCCATGATGCACATAAGTTTTTAATTTTGATGAAGTCCAATTTATTTTTTCTTTTTTTGCCTGTGCTTTTGGTGTAATATTTAAGAAACCATTCCCAAATCTAAGGTCTTGAAGATTTGCCCCTATTTTTTGTTCTAAGAGTTTTCTAATTTTAACTCTTACATTTAGGTCTTTAATCTATTTTCAGTTAATTTTTTTATATTGTGTGAGGACCTACAAAATATGTAAAGCAAAAATGGAAAGAATTGAAGGGAGAAATAGACACCTATAATAGTAGTTGGAGACTTCAATACCCCACTTTCGATAATGGATAGAAGAGCCAGACAGAAGATCAATAAGGAAGTAGAGGACTTGAACAACTCTGTAAACCAATAAGACCTAACAGATACACGTTCTTCTCAAGTACATATGGTTCGTTCTCCAGGATAGACCATATGCTGGGCCACAAAACAAACCTTAATAAATTTAAAAAGATTGAAATCATATAAAGTATCATTTCCAATCACAATGGGATGAAACCACAAGTCACTAATAGTAGGAAAACTGGAAAATTCACAAATATGCGGAAATTAAGCAGCAGTCTTCAACGATCAATGAGTCAAAGAAGAAATCAGGAGGGAAATTATAAAATAACTTGAGACAAATGAAATTAAAACACAACATACCAAAACTTACGGAATGCAGCAAAAGCAGTGCTAAGAGGGAAATCTATAGATGTAAATGCCTATGTGAAAAAAGAAGAAAGATCTCAAATCAATAACCTGACTGTACACCTTAAGGAAAGTCCCTGGGTGGTGCAAATGGTTAAGCACTGGACTACTAGCTGAAAGCTTGGGAGTTTCAACACACCCAGAGGCACCTTGGAAGACAAGCCTGGTGATCTGCTTCTGAAAGTTCACACTTGAAAACCCTATGGAGTACAGTTCTACTCGGACACATATGGGGTGGCCACGAGTTGGAATCAAGACAATGGCAGCCACCACTAACGAACAACAATACCTTTAGGAAATAGCAAACTAAACCCAAAACTAGCAGAAGGAAGGAAATAAAGATTAGAGTGGAGATAAACAGAGCAGAAATGAAAACCTGGTGGATCACAACAGAATATGTCTGATATGGACACATCATACGGATGTGTTTACCCAAGTGGAAAAAAAGAAGAATAAAGTAGGAGGATTCGCACTACCTGACCTCAGAACCTACAGTACAGCTACAGTAGT